CTAGTACAACTGACATTTTGTTCCTAAAATGAAGTCTATTTATCCATAACACAAGTTTGTTCTTTGTTAATGACAGGGAACAGTATTATTATGTATTAGATGAGATAAAGAAGATGCGAAGAGGAAAAAAAATCTACTTCAACTACCTTTTCCATTTGTCCTATATAATCTCATTACATTTCCTCACATCATTCCAAAATTACTTGGAGAAACTTCCTTTGAGACTAATAGATAAAAATTATCACAGAACATTTATTTAGTCAAAGAATAACTCAATTATTTATAGACCAACGAAATTCTCCCCTTGTACTAATATCCACTTTAAAGATTTATTTATTTATTTATTTGCCAGACAGAGATCACAAGGAGGCAGAAAGGCAGGCAGAGAGAGAGAGGGAAGCAGGCTCCCTGCTGAGCAGAGAGCCTGATGCGGGACTCGATCCCAGAATCCTGAGATCATGACCTGAGCTGAAGGCAGCGGCTTAACCCACTGAGCCACCCAGGCACCCACTAATATCCACTTTAAAACAACTGTAAATTTGTCCATTACTAGCCTAAACCTCTTATCATAGTAATAATTCTATTATACTAGTAATAATTAATAATTATTATATGTAATATACAATTATTATAATTAGTAATAATTCTGTTATATTAAAGAATATCAAGTTTTTAAACACAAGAATTTTTCTTTTTTTTAATGTCTTTTATTTTTAAGGAATAATGATTCCAGGAGCACCTGGGTGGCTCAGTTGGTTAATCATCCAACTTTTGATTTCCACTCAGGTCGTGATCTTGGGGTCACGGCATCAAGCCGCCTGTCAGGCTCTGTGCTCAAAAGTCTGCTTGTCCCTCTCCCATGTTCCTCCCCCCTACTACCACTCTCTTTTTCTCTAAAATAAATAAAATCTAAAATCTTAAAAATCTTTTAAAAATCTTAAAAAAAGAGAATAATGATTCCAAACCCTAATATTCTAAAAATACACTTAGTTTCACAAAACACTAATGTCATTAGTGAATTCTTCATTTTCTGTCAGAAGCTCTAGAATTAATGTTAATCCAAATTTTCCTTCTTTGTAATTAACTAACTAACTCTTTAAAACTACTCATTGTTACTGTGTTGGTTTTCTCCTCTTTCTAAACTTTGACCACCCCCTCTCTCATCCCACCTACCCTTCCTACGCTCAGGGCGAATGTCATGTCCCTCTGCGAAATGGTTCTCAGGCTCCCCACCCCAGTTATTTATTCCTTCCACTGCAGGTTTTGCTCCTCTCTCTCGGTCATGCTACCATACTCTATAGACTTACAATTTATCTCTTTATGAATTTATCTCCCCACAAGATCACGGGTTATCAACCTCGTAACTCAAACACAGTGGAGCTGAATTCAGGGGCAGAGAAGGGGTAGAATTACAGTGAGTTTGTACCTTAACCTCTCTTAGCTACTCTATGTTATCTAACCTGCGGCTGCCCCTAAACTAGATCTGACTTTCCCAGAGAAGTCCATTACATAAAGATCAACAGACGTCTGTGTTGCACTAGGAATGTATCACAGAAATGCTCAGCATTTGTTATCCTGTCAGATCACTCAAAATAATTAATACCTTGGTATCCTAGCTTACTAACACTTTTCCCTAAGTTTGGATAGGGAATTTCCTAAAACCTGATGACTCTTGTGCATGATGTGCATGATACTCACCACCTTAGAGGGCTTTCTCATCTAGGGAAAGTGAGAATCAGGCTTTAAGTTCCTTGATGAAATGGCCAACTCTGCTGTCTACTAAACTGATATGCTGAACATATAAACCTTTATGATCAGAAACACACTTAGATTTAGACACCTGTTAACAACCTAAATCTCCAATGCTGATGTCCATCTCCTATTAAGAGCATAACACCAGGGGCGCCTGGGTGGCTCAGTGGGTTAAGCCGCTGCCTTCGGCTCAGGTCATGATCTCAGGGTCCTGGGATCGAATCCCACATCGGGCTCTCTGATCAGCAGGGAGCCTGCTTCCCTCTCTCTCTGCCTGCCTCTCCGTCTACTTGTGATCTCTCTCTGTCAAATAAATAAATAAATAAATCTAAAGAAATTAAAAAAAAAAAAAAGAGCATAACACCAATCTGTATTAGAGAGGAAAAGCCAAGAGTTATTCTAATATGGTACAGGCCATTTATTAAATAGTCCTCATGCCTCAGCCACTCATGTTACTTGCTTTACATATATTTTCTTCACAGCAACACACGATAGGGCTATGGCCTCCATTTACAGATAAGGAAACTGACAGCAGAGTTAAAAAAAAAAATTCCTAAAATAATGTCTTCAGAATATGAATTCTAGATGTTTGCCTTTTGAACTATAGTCCATTTAGTGCTGTGTTAGGACCAGTTCACAATGACTCACAAGAGCCAACTATTAAATTTTTAGGAACTGTACGAGCCATTTTTAAACACAGCTATGATTGAAAATTAAATCCTGTAAGCTAACAATTACACAAATAATAAAAACCAAGTTAAGTATCATTCAAAACTCACTTCCTAAATATTTCAGTACATTTTACTCTTGAGGTTGATTATATTTATTATATGTGTGTACGTGCGAAAAATAAACGGTGTGAAAACGAGTATTTTTCTCAACTTCGTATTCAGTGATACCACTTTGCTAGCTTGAAACTGACCAGGATGGGAACATTTATGCCAAAGAAATTGGTCAATCCTACGAAGCATGGCTTTTTTCCCCCGAGTGGCTGTTAAACATCACCAGCGAATCACTGAGTTCATTCCTTATTCTGAGTTAATCGGTTATTCCAAAATACAATACACATGCTCAGCCCCTATCAAGAAATTCTAATTCAGCAGATCAAGGATAGAGTATCAGCAATGTATTTCACAAAAAGCTATCTCTCCTCCAAAAGAATTCTTATATATACACTCTTCTAGCTGAGAACTACTATCTGAGAATTCTAAACAGTATTATGTATCATCAGGCATTAGAAAACTATATACTTAAAAGTATATTACTTTAGGTTCCCAAATTTAAGTCTCTACAAACTATAATGTGAAACTGTAATGCAGCTTTTTAAATCAAGGATCAAAAACTGTTATAAGCAAGCCTCTATGTAGCTTAAATTATCAGAAAGGTTTCTCTTTAAACAATTCAATAATTTTAATAAAAAGATTATGAGACAACTAAGATATCCACATAAAAAAGAATAAGGCTGAACCATAAACAAAAACTAACTCAAAATGGATCAAAGCTAAAGCTAAAGCTCAAAGATTCTTTGAAGAAAACAAGGCACGAATCTTTGTGATCCTGAATTAGGCAATGGTTTCTTAGATAAGACACCTAAAGCACAAACAACAACAGAAACAGATGAATTGGATTTCATCAAACTAAAAACATTTGTGCTTGAGGACATCATCAAGAACATAAAATGATAACCCACAGAATGAAAGAAAATTTTTGCAAATCATAAATAAGGAATTTGTATCTAAAATATAGAGAGTTGTTACAAATCAACAATAAAAAGATAACCCAAAATAAAAAAAGGCAAAGATCTGAAAAGACATGTTTCTAGAGAAGATATGCAGATGGCCAATAAACACATCTTATTGTTCAATATCACTGACGTCCAATATCATCAGCCACCAGAGAAATGCAAAAACTATAGTAAGACTACCACTTCATAACCATTAAGATGGCTCTAATCAAGAGTTCAGTAACAGCAAATGCTGACAAAGATGTGAGAACTGAAATCCTCATACGCTGCTGGAAAGAATGCAAAATGGTATAACTGCTTTGGAAAACAACCTACCAGATTCTCAAAAAATTAAACAAAGAGTTAGGATATGACTCAGCAATTCTACTTCTAGATATAAACCCAAGAGAAATGAAAATATAGGTCACTCAAAAAACTATTTATGGCTGTTCACAGCAATGTTATACATAAAAGCCAAAAAATGGAAACCACCCAAATGTTCATCAATTAATGACTGGATAAACAAAAGGTAATATATTAATACAGTGGAATATTTGGCAAAAACAAGGACTAAAATATTGATATATCCTAATAATCTTTCATGAACCTTGAAAACACTATAGTAGGTAAAAGACACAAGTCAAAAACAAAGCCACCTACTGCTTGACTGCACTTATTTGAAACATCCAGAACAGGCAAATCTAGAGTGACAGTAAGTGGCACAGTGGTTGCGTAAGGCTGGTGGTCAGTCAGATGATACAGGTATAACCATTAAAGGTTTTCCTTTGGATAATGAAAATGCTCTAAAATTGATTGTGGTGATGGTTGCATAACTCTGAGAATATACAAAAAAACCACCAAATTGTACGCTTTAAATGGACGAATTGTATGTTATATGGATTATATCCTAGTGAAACTGTTACAAATACATATAAATAAATTTCTTTAAAAAAACTAGCTGAGGATGAGATTTCCATATCTGAAACACTGATGTTTTCTTTTATTCAATGAGCTGTATCATAAAATAGATTTCTCTTTTGGTTTCATTGCCAGGAAATTCACTATTAAATTTTGTGGGTACATGAGCTTCCCTTTCCTTAAGTTCTCTAGGTCAGTTTCTGTCACCACCATGCCTTACTTTCACTGTTTTAAATTCTAAATGTTTACAATAACCCACCTCAATCTTTCTTGGAAACAAGCAGGATATGATGGCTGGCTGAATTCTGAAAATTTAAGAATACTTTTAGATACTCATGATGCCCTCCAAGATACAGAAATCCTATTTCTGTATCAGGTTAGCCTGAGCTCTGCTAACCAATTCCCTTCATCTTAACCACCAAGGATTGATTCAGAGAATTATGAGTTTTCCCAGAGGACTTTTTTTCTCTACATTACATTATCCATATAAAACATTATACTGTGGTATTATACATCTACCATATATTTAGCACACAAGATAATAAATGGAACATAAGTAATAATTCACTACTGAAATTTAACTTTGTTTTGGGAAATTCATTCCTACCCTAACAGGTGAGGATGAGTCCTCTGTATTTCGTTTCTGGGACTCAGTGTCCACATCTTGGCGCTTGTTCTTCATTCTTTCTCTAAGATCCCCTGTAGGCCTCTCTGGTGACCTTTGAACCAGAAAACAAAAACAAAACAAAAAACAAAACAAAACAACAAAAATCTATATTTTTATAATGTTTGTAAGAATATATCTACAGAAATAACTCATGAATCTCAATGTTTCTTTCCGTGGCTCCTAATGTTCAGAAAAACAATTAATTTGCTTTGGCTTAAATATTAATATATAGGAAATATGAGCATCACTTACAAATTTTCTCCCCATGACAATCAGAAATGTATACACTAAAATTCCATGGGGTGGCAGGTACTGGTGACATGAATAAGAAATTGTATGTGAGCTAAGAAAAAGGAATTTGTTATTAACAGTTTAATTTGTTTTTCTAAAAATCACATAAAGGTATTAGTTATATTTGAAAGTAAAAAGCAGGAAGATAAAGTTTTAAATCACAATGTTGTAAAATTAATCAAGAAGCAACAGTATTATCACGTATACATGCATGTGGCTGGATGCAACACCGACAACTGAGAATTACCCATCTTAAGAACCACAGGATACAGAGGAGTTCTGTGTTATTCTTATAACTTTTCTTAAAATTTGAAATTATTTCAGAACAGAAAATAATTAAAGGATTCAAAGCAAGATTTAGGCGGTAGATTTCTTTTTTTTAATTAAGGAAAATCGTACACATTTATATTCAACACACCTAAGCATTCATAATTCATACTGAAAATGTGAAAAATGGCTTGCCAATTATTTTTATACCATTATTAAGTGAGAAAACAAAGCAGACATGGAAAACACATTGCCTTTAATGAGTATTCCTTGAATATTCTTTTAAAAAGGGCAATAGAAGTTAAGAAGTGGTATGTCCCTCATTGGCCACCAAAAAATACTGTATATTATTTTTTTTAAGGATAAGTATATAAGGATAAGTATATAAATTTTTAAGGATATAAACAAGTCACATAAACATTTGCATCTATTTCAAGTCATAGTTATCAATCAAATCAATTCTTTTATCAATCAATACAAGTTACATGATTAATGAAGAAATAATTTCAGTTAATTCACTTTAAAGGATCTCATTAATATCTATATGCACATTTTACAGGACTATATTAAATGTTTTAATAGTAAATCTGAGTTTAAAAGTGGAAATTATTAAAAACCAGTACTTAAATGTTTTAAATTATAATTATGATGAGTATGTACATCTTATGTGTCCTGGCCTCCTTTATATAATAAGACAATTTATTAAATATATATATTTATATATATATATTTATACATATAATATATATAATAAGAAAATTTTTATTAATTAAAACCCTAAGAGTGCCTAACAGAGTACTCTACATACAATGAATGCTCAGTAAATGATTTAAATATTTTGTGACAAAGCATTTCTGAAATACACTGCTTTTCTTTCCATCTTTGAATCACGTTATGAACTGTATTTTCATCCCTATAAAAAAAGGAAAAAAGAAATCCAAAGGGGGTTATCAAATGGAAAAACATGCACAAAATAACAACAAAAAATCCTTTATTCTAAGTCCAATAATGACACTATTTTTTTCCCATTTTAGATAAATTTCTCTGCCATTTTCCTTAAAATTACCTCTTGTATAAAAATTTTGTCAGTTAATAAGTTTCACAGATGAATTAAAGTATGTATTAAAAGTGTTGTAATAATAGGAACAAAACATTAAAATTACTGGAACAATTTCCCTAAGTGTATATTTATACAGATAATTAAACATATGTTAAGAACTGGTTTTCCCACATTAATAGAAGGCACAGATAACAATCTAAATAAAAATAAAACAGAGTATTCAGCATCACGAGTAAAGTAAAATGTACATTTAAGTGAACAGAAAGTCAGTTAAGGGTCTGAATTTTAAATTCTCTTAAGCTTCAAAATCTATACACAAACACACACACACATTTAAAAAGAATTTTTAAAAAATCTGCAAATGCTAATGTTCAGTTTTTATACTATCGCTGTAACCAAAGCAATAAGCACACCCAGTTTTAGGACTTTGTTAACTATTTGTTTACCAATCAAGTTTAAACTGTTTTTGTGTCTACATATGTTACATATTTAACACCATAATATAACCATCATAAACTGAACTGAAAGAAAAATGAAAGGTCTTTATTAGGAAAAGTTTCATTTAGCTTTGCCTTTATCAAAGGCAAAAAGATGTCCCAAACAGGTAATAGGACCTTTATCTACATATAAGTACATGTTTTCATTTACATTAATACATTGTGATAAGGGATTTGGCAAATGCATTTTAATGTATAGAAGTTGCAGTAGACAGTCTCACGTCATTAAGATCTGAATTCAGAACATTTTAAAAAGCTAAAATTATATCCTTGTAAAATTTTATTCTTTTAAGAGTTAAAAACAGTCTTTCCAAAGTAAAAGTAAATCCATGAAATTCTGCTCTTAAATCATTTTAACTATATAACTAGGTGTGGGGGAAGTTAAGTCATACGTATATTATAAAAAAAAAATCTACTGGCAAAAACAGTAAATACTGAGCAAATAATATTAAAGCATACATTTTATTAATCTCAAAATGAACCAGAAAGATCTTGTTGATCTTTGACTATTGATAAGACCACCACCAAAAGAGAAAAATCTGATCAAATATATGCTTGTATTTCAGATTTTTATACTAGATAAATTACAAAAGCCATCTTCTAATATTATACGAGCAATTCAAAGTTCTTAATTTACCTTCTATAATTGCTGCTATAACCTTTACCACGGGGTGAAGGGCCATGTACGAATCTACATGTGTTTCCATAGAGGCAGTTGCCAGTCTTCAGCCAGTTACGGCACTGTGTCTAAGAGACAGATATTACTATGTAAATTTCATATTTATTTCTGGGAAAAAAGATGCTAGTGGGACAAAATTAAAACAAATGCTACCAAAATTCCAGCTACCTGAGACACATTATTCATTCCCCAAACAATAAAAACATCAGGACAAAAAAAACATAAAAATTATTACTCTTCACTCCTTTATGAAACTCAGTTTTAAAAATTTACCAAACATTCCTAAAATACAACAACCTGTTCACCTTATGATGCAAGTCAGTATTCAAGAACAGGATTAAAAGATAACCCCTGTGACTGAGCTAGTGACAACTCACCTCTGCTGTACTGCCAGTGCTGGGTCCAAGCCTCTCAAACACACTGGGTCTTCGGGATGTGCTATCAGATATGGTCTTGGTATTTTCCACTGTGACCTTCCTTCTAATTTTTGACATTTTGTACTACTTTAACCAAAAAAGAGAGAGGCAAAACTGTAAAATTCTTCAGCTTCAAATTAACTGAGCTCGTAACTTATACGTAGATAAAGCTGTAGATAACACTGTAAAACTGTGGGTAATTTTTCTCAGGAGAAAAAAGGCATAGGAGAGGTCACAGGTAAACAGAAGGTATCTTCTAAGGCATGCCACACTAGTGAACTTTTAACAATGCCGAAATCTGTTGGCTAGAATTTTTACTCTTCTGCAGAGTGAAAGAATAAGATTCTACTTGCACAATTTTCATAGTACATTCACATCAGAAAACAACTATAAAATGTTTAGTTTCTAAGTTCTTTATAAAAGTTTCAAAATTTAGTTAACTATCTTATAAGGAAAAGTTGTGCTATCATTCTCCATAAGGTAGTTAACTGGAAAAGAAAGCCATGTCAAAGAGAATGGGAAAATAAAATTAGGTGAGAATTTTACTGATAGTTGAAATTATGCTTTATACAGCTTGCAACATTAGGTATATTCCAAAAATCAGCTTGGGAGAAAAATGCAAACTATTTAATATTTTCTCTATCTTAACAGAGCTTGAAAAAGAACAGTCTAATCAAGAACATTTATTTTCAATAATATAAAGAAAATTCAATGCTGACAAAATGACTTTCAAATAGGCTACAGAACTAGAAGAAGTCAAGATGTTTCTATAACTTATATTGACATAAAAGTCAAAGATGCTAAAAGTGATAAACAGGCTATCTTACTATTATTAAAAACAAGACAAATTGTAAAAATATTTTACTAGGGTAAATAAAACATTTAAAACTAAAACCATAACAAGACAAATCTAAGTATATAATAATCAGGTGACTCAACTGGAAATGAAAACATCAGATAACAGTATTATGATATATGTTAAAGAAAAACATTAAATTCTAGATCTAGAAAAAATTAGTACATCACTGTGGGAACTGGGTAAGAACTGCCTAAAGGGGGTGGGGGGACTAAACCATATCACATTTCATATAATACAATTAGTTGAAATCTTCTCAATAGTCAAAAGTTACTAGAATGAATGGAGCTAAAGAAGTAAAAGTTCCATTTGGTATAGAACTGGTCTCCATAAAATTCACAAATTAAAGTTCTTTAATGTGGTTTCAAAGTAAAGACGTATCACTTGAAAGGAAATTAAGTCTTGATAGTACCAAATCAAAAGTTCAAAAAAATTATAAACAATATTTGGTTTAGTTAAGATACTTTTCAGTCCACATTTTTAAAAGAATCTTAAGAGTAAGGACAACATTTGACAAATGAACAAAGATAATAAACCAAAAGGAAAACAGGAAATGATACAATATGGTAGTTTTAAATTGGAAAAAAAAGTATCTTATTCTTTAATATAAATACAATCATTTTAGTAATTATTTTTAATGACTCAAAGAAGTTGGAAAATGACTTTACAAATCTTTAAGAATTAGCACAGATGTCACATTAATGAGTAAGAGTTTGTTGCAACATAAAACCACATATGTATCAACTGTTCTCCAAATAAGGAACAATACAACCAACCCTACATACAACAGTTAGTACTATAAGATGATCTTTGGTTTCATTCTCAGCCCAAATGTGAATTTACAGAGTAAAATTTGGTAGAATTTCATATGTTCACTTGATTTACTGAACTGAAAAGTTCTTTATATAATGGAAAAGTTCTTTATATAATGGAAGGCCAAGATCAATGGAACTGAAAAAACATCTAGAAAATGTAAAGCTTTGATTAAGTGGTTTGATTAAAAACCACTTTTTATAATTTATACCTGAGCAGGAATCAATAAAAAGTGAGTATGTCACTCAAAACAGGGAAAGTTTAGAACAAAAACAAATGTTCAAAGTCTTATTATGTTACTATAAATATTAATAGAGGTGTATATTATAATCTTCATCCACTAATTCCATTTTTAAAACATTTATTAGGGTGCCTGGGTGGCTCAGTGGGTTAAGCGTCTGCCTTTGGCTCAGGTCATGATCTCAGGGTCCTCGGATGGAGCCCTGCATTGGGCTCTCTGCTCAGCAGGGAGCTTGCTTCCCCCTCCCTCTCTGCCTACTTGTGATCGCTCTCTGTCAAATAAATAAATGGAATCTTGAAAAAAAAAAAAATTAATAACCTTAAAATTGAATGAGTTCTAAAAGTTCCTTATTAGCTCTTATTAGTTATTTGGAACTTGGAAAACAGGCATACCATCCCCCCCCCCACTGTTTTACCCTAATCTTACATATTTCCCTCCACTACCAATGGAAATAGTTCTGCTCCCCAAACTCCTATACAGCCACAGCATGCTGCCACTCCCAACACACCCTCCTCCAAAAAAATTAATGATAGTGCTTTCCATTATTAGGGCAACAGCTATTTATTATTGTTCCTGAAACACTGGTCATCTACCATCTCCTTTCTTGTTTTTCTGAGGGCTCCACGTATTAACTCTACTGTTTCTCTTCCTGCTCTATTAGCTGTTGCTTGGATCAGCACTCTGCTACTCCCTTGACCTACCCCTGAAAACCATGGCTTCTCTCTAATCCTAGATCACGAACATAAACTTTGAAGATTTCAAAAGGTTTGGACTACTATGTCAAATACAAGTGAGGACTGATGGGATCTTAACACCCCTCCTTGTATGTATCCCTGCCACTAAAAAAGTACCCTCCTACAGAGACAAAGTTGCTTGTACATGTGACATCAAGAACTATTCAAGATTCACCTACATAGTTACTGTCACTGGAACTTCACTTTTAGCTACTGTTGAGTCTTCCAACTTAGGGAAAAACAGCAAAGTAAAAGTCATATTCTCAGCATCCAACATTGTCAGACTTCCTCCTAAAATTACACTGACTTTGAGTACCAGGTCTATGTTATAGGGAGGTCATAGACAGGAAAAAAAATCTGAGGCAAAAGGGAAAAAGTAGGACTTGAAGTTTTCTAATTGAAACGAAGAGGAATTCTTCTGGTCATCTATCTAGGAACTTCTATCAGTAGTCAGCAATAATAACTTTTTGAAATATTATTACTGAAATATTCATGACTGACAAAGATAAAATGTTTTATGCTTATAAAGAATACAAAATACAATATTTTAAATACTATTTGTCTAAATATATACACATAATCTGTAATACACCAGAAAAACACTTACTCATATGTTAATTTATTAATTTAAATGTATGTTACCAAATAAAATGACTTAATTAGAATTTTCAATCTAAAAATTTGGGCCCTCAAAGGGACCCAAATAAATACCACAATCTAATAAAATATAGATTTAACTAAGGAAGGGATAAAAACCTTTTTTAATTAATATCTGAACAGGCTTCAATGAGCAAATGCTTCAAAGTATGTAAGAAAAGTTAGAAACAATAAAATAAAAATGTAAATATTAAAGTCTAAAACCTGAGTGGCTCAGTGAGTTAAGCCTCTGCCTTCAGCTCAGGTCATGATCCCAGGGTCTTGGGATCGAGCCCCACCTCAGGCTCTCTACTCAGCAGGGAGCCTGCTTCCCTTTCTCTCTCTGCCTGCCTCTCTGCCTACTTGTGATCTCTGTCAAATAAATAAATAAAATCTTAAAAAAAAAAAAATTACGTCTTCCCTATCTCAGAGACTTTAAATCTTTTCCCTTCAGTTTTGTTTTCAAATTAAACTTTGATTTCAAGGTGTCATTATACTTTTACCCACATCATCATGTCTTTATATCTTTCCCAAACACCATCATTATCAAAGCCCAGGTGACACTGGTGAAAGTCTATGGAGTTATTTTCCCATTTCTCCCCTCCATTTGAAGAGTAAATAAATATCAAGGTTTTTATGATATATTTTCAATTGAAAAAAAGGGGACAGAGTTTGAACCTATTAAAATACAACAAGAGGGTCTTAAAAAATGGGAACAGTTCTCTTTCTCCCTCCAAAACTTAAAATATCACAATGTACTCAAAGCTACACCCTATAAATATGGCTAAGAAAGGGGAAGCATACAAATGATCATTGATTCCTGAGGCCTAAATACTAAAATCTTGTCAATAAAACATGTATCAATTCTAGTATCCTCATTTTAATCCATAATTACATCTTTTTGAGGCTGCATCTTTCCCCAGCACAAATAAACGCATGTATCATTTTAACCTGAATAAGCCACAGCATAATATTAGGAAACTGTCAAGTAATTAAACAATTAAAACTACATAAATGTACTAACTAGTAGAATAAATTCTTATCCACTGAAGTTCTAAAATTAAAAGGTTTATATTAAAAATAAGGTCTCTTCCTATTTATAGTTCATATTTTTTAAAGAAAAAAGTTAAGTTTATTTGATGCATAGTCTGGGAGAATATTTCTAAAAAATAACTTTCTAAAACAATCTTACAGGTTGCTTAAAGACAGACTAAAACAAAACCAAAAACAAAATAACAACCAAAAAAAGAGACTAAAACAATTCCAACTTTAATTCCAAACAGAATTAACAGAACTACACTGACTATACCACTATGAGCAAGGCAATCCTGTAGCACTGTGCAGAAAAAAAAAAAAATTGTTAAAAAGACTATGAACAGAAAATAGGCAATGCTAGTAACTACTATAAAGTGAAATAAACAGAACTGCAACATGCATTCTATCAAAAAAGAATAAAGACACTTTAAATAGCAACACCAGTTAACTTTCAACTGTTATTAAATATCTACTTAAATAGCTCCAACTCTACATGAAATGGAGAACTGGGTTGGGGGAGGTGGAGAAGACTGACATCCACTGAAAACCAACTCCTCAAATAAATGTCAATTAAACAACTGTGCTGCCTATATTTAACCGCCAATGCATACTGTAATACAAACTAACACAATTTACTAAAATTCTAATAACTTGTACAGAAGTGAAAATAGCATCCACCTGATTAATTTTAGTATTAATTTACCAATATGAAAATGGATTGATTTGCATATCTTAAATATGGAATCAATATTCATTTTGAATCAGCGAGAATTAGGAAGCCAGAAAGAGGCATGCATTTGACAGAATTGGATCCTAGAGATCCACACAGTAAAAGTCTAAGTTTCGTGGTGCAACTATTTTTACTGATACAAATTGCTACATACCTGCATCAACATTCTTAGCAGTCTCTTGTTTAAAATGTCATCCTATAATCTAAATATTTCATTAAGAAATTGGAAATTATTTGAAAATCTACAGATTATGTCCACAAAACTCTTAAAAATATTGTCGCTTAGGTACTAACGCCAGTAATTTCAATATTACAAAACTAGACTCCACTAACTGGCACCATATACGCATGCATGGATTGTACTGCATAAACATTTAGATTAACTGCAACAGTACCATGGACTTTGAAAAATTGAGGTGTGAAGATATTTTCCAAACTTTTAAAATTATTAAAAAAAAAAAAACCTGAAGGGCCAGTCTATGCCTGTAATTTTCGGAGTAGTTCAAAGTATGTGAAAACCTCACAATATAACCAAATAGCTAAAGATATGCTCCACAAACAGGATCCTACCAACATCATTCATGTAATATCAACTCTGAATGATTTTCCAGCCACATATATTATTTTAACCTATTCCGAAAGAGGTAATGCCAAACAGCATATCCTCCATACTTTCACTCCACCTTCCCTAGTTTCTGACGGATAGTTGCCCAAAGTAACTACCTAGGGAAGGTAAAGATAGAGTAGCACTCCTCAAACTTAGGACCCAAGTCAAACTATCACTGCCGGGAAATAAGCAAAACCAAATACAACCAACAGCAAGATAATTTTTCCTAAAGGTCTGGAATGCGTAAAGAGGGAGCCTCTAAATCTAAGACCATATTCCTCCCCCGGTCCAGTGCATATAAATGCGAATACTGCGCAAGGGTTCCCAAGCTTTTTTGGTAGGGACCCAGAACAGTCTTTTGTCTGAATTCCCGTCCTCTTAAACAAACTAGCCGGAATCAGAATACAAGCGAGAAACGAAGCCTGAGCCCAGGGAGCTATTGCACAGTTAAGGGTGGGATGCTCAAAAAGAGCTCAAAATCCTGGCGTGACCCAAGGGGGATGGAGTACAACCCAGGGCCTCCCCATTCGGGTCCGTCAAACGCCTTTTCCCGGATACCCACACCAATTCACAGAATTCAAGCTTACCTCCTTCCCAAGCTCCTGTCGCAAGCACAGTCCGGAGGCGCTACCGCCGCCACCGCTCCGAGGAGCGGGGGAGGCGACTCTCTGTCCCCGCGCCTAGCCCCGGGAAGACGACGACGAGAAGTAGGTGCGCGCGCGGCTCCCGGGAACCGGCTCTTCGCTAGCGAGGGGCCCCTGGGGCAGCTGAGAAGCAGAGCCCACCCACCGCTTCGGTAGGGTCAAGTGAAACTGAGATGTAGAACGAAAAAGAACGAAGAGAGACTGGAGAGCAAGAAAAAGCAACGAAAACACTACCAGGCCGCTAGGAGGCCCGACTCAAAATGCCGCCGGAAATCGAGTGTTTGCCCTGATCCCCAGTGGTCCGAGGCAGCTTCCGGCCGCCGGATTAGTCGTCAGCGCGCAGGCACCGCCCCTTCGGAGACACGCCCCTGGGCGTAACGTCGGCTCGTCGGAGTGTCGTGGAAATCTTCTAATCGGTGCTTTGTGAAGGGACCCTTGGAGTGGAATCCCTGAGCCAGGGAGAGCCAAAGTTTCCCATAAAAAGTGGATTTAAGAGGGAGAGTTTACTCCTTTTATTACATAGTTTCTTACAATAAACAGCTGTTGTAAATGCCACATTTGTTGTTGAAAATAACTACAGTCGTTCATTCATTTGCTCAAAAAGGTTTCCTGCGCACGGGCAGGTGGTGTTTGTCTCGTTTTTGACACTCCTCTACTTTTGGGGCCATCGTTTATTACTGTGGAGCAAAGGACACACGGTTGTGTTTTTAAAGGCGCAAGCAGTTCATTGAAAATTTGGAGCAGAAATCTTTAATGTACTTCTAACCCCCTTTCCTTTTGTGGTCCAATGATCTGCAAGAAACTGGTTATTAAAATTGCTTGAGGTGGGTGGTCAAACATCCTAAATCAAAATCCGTACAAATTTTTTAAAAAGGAAAAAGAAATGTGAGCCCTTTTCTGCCTTAATTTATGGTAGCATTTATTTCGTTCTTTGACAAAAGCAAGGAATGGGAAAATCTTTTCTCAAAACTACTGATAAAATCTTAGAAGAATGGGTACAATGATTTGGTCTTGTAGGAATCAGTAAATTAAAATAGGAGAGAAGAGCGAGAAAATCAAGGGAATTAAACATTCTTGATGACATGCTCAACTATTTTAGAGATAGCGGCGAGAGCTTCTGTGCAAGTGGGTCTGATGTAACGTTCTGGCAACAAGAATCCATATTTGCCTTTATCTCGAAGTTCAATTGTAAACGAATATTTTATGCCTAAGTCATAGATCCAGTCATCTGAACCTCCAGGGGCTAGGTCTACAAGAAGAAAAAATAAATTACTTTTTGAAATCCAGATGTCTCAAGTTAATGAACAAAATGGATTTTTTCCCCTAAAAATAAAAATAGCTTTATTTTTTCTGATTATTAAGTAATCTAAGTTTCTGGTAGAAAGTAGAGATGGAAGAAAAACAGGTTAAGGAAGAAAATAAAAATTACCCATATTTCTGCCAAGGAGTAATAATCACCATTAACATTTTAGTCTTTCTTTCTCCTCAGTGCATGTTTTAACATATTTGATTTTTTCCAAATGTGTTAAATAAGATCATCCTATACATGCAGTTTTAAATACTTCTAAACATAATCTATCTGACCAGCTTTATGTATCAATGACTTCAAATCTACATTATCATTTTTCATGATCTCATAGCACATAGTAAAGCTGGATATAATTAAGTATAATTAAGTTCAATAATTATCTCCAATAACTTGGGGGTAATCTCCAATAACTTGGAGACCTTTAGATTATTTTTTTCTAATTTCTAATTGATATAAACAACTTTACAATGAACTTTCTTGTTTTCACTAATTGCTTCTTCATTTCTTTAGAATGTTCTTACCTAGAAGTAGATTCACTTGTCTAACAGTATGTACTTTTTACAATTATGCTACATGTTCCCAAATAACCTTCAGAAGAATTGAACCAACTTACATCTCTGTACTAGCAGTGTATGAATACGCCCATCTCACCCTCTCATACCATGCATAGGGAATTATGTATTTTGGGCAATTTTATGGGTGAAAATATTATTGAATAATCTTGTTTATTTGATTACCACTGAGTTAAACATTTTATTTGGTATATTTATTGTCCAGCATTATAATTTTTGTCTTTGCTCATTTTGTCTTTGCTCATTTTTCTACTCGTTTGATTTTACAGATTCTTTATAATAGCAACATTAGTGTTATTAGCCTTGTGTAATAGGTGAATTTGTTTTCTTATTTGGTTATTTAGCTTTCAGCTTGCTTTATGGCAGAGTGTTTATATTAAAATATTTTATCTATCTTTGATTTATTTTAGAGAAATATATGTTAGTAAATTAATTAATTTCTTCTAAGTTGTCAGGTTTTCCAACCCTATTAATTGAATAACATTCTTAGAATTGCCTCTTTTATGAGATAATATGTGCCCTTATATATTTAAATGTCTTTCTGTTCTCACTATTCCCTCCTATTGGTATGTCTTTTCCCAGCTCAGGTCCACAGTCTTACTTACTGTAAGTTTATAATGTGCCTTAATACCTGGTTGGGGAAAATTCTCTCTTAGTCTCATTTTTCAGAAAAATTTTACAAGCTCTTCTACCAAATTCATTCTTTCAAAAAAAAATTCAAAGTCACTTAATTGTTCATTGGGATTGCATTAAACATACAGACTAATTTAGCACTACTGACACATTTTTATTTTGCATTCTTACTCAAAAACGTAGTAGGTTTCCCCTTTTATTTATCCTCCTTTATGTAAACCAATAAAATTTTCTAGGGTTTTCATATAAATATATGGATTTGTATGTGTACACACATACATACATTTAACAAGGAATCCACATATATGTATCTGTATGTATATGTGTGTGCACTTTGTACATATGTACATATAGAGGGGCAGTAGGATCTTTTCTCCACTTTATTATCTACCTGATTATTTTTGGTATATAACAGAGCTTTAGATTTCTGTATATTTACTTCATAGCCACCTTACTCAACTTTTGATTGTTAATAATATTTTTGGTTGATTTCTACTGTTTTCCAGGTAATCATATATTTCATATGCAAAGTGATCACTTTTGCCTCCTTCTAATGCTTATACTTGAATTAACTACAAAGGTGTTTACCAAAGCATTGTTTATAATACTGAAAATATCCACCAGCCAAGGGTTCAATATGTTATTCAGCAAATATTTCTGACAACCACTATCAATATTTGGCATTCCTTCTTCCATTCCTTCTTCTTCTCATGCTCGTGAACACATTCTCATAGATGTATGCTAACTGAATGAATGAATGAATGTGTAGAGAGGGACTGATTTCTTCACACCAGACTCTGAGACACTGCGGTTATGCTTTGGGAAGCAATGGCAGAGAAGAGGATAAGAATCGAGAAAGCTCTGAATTGTGAAAGGAAGCTGTGTGATCCCTCACTGACAGAGCAAGGACCTGGGTCAGCAAAGGCAGCAGTGGGCCAATGACACCAGGAGACTGAGATACCACGCAGATCAATCTGGCCCCACTTTGTTCAGAGACATTTTGGGATTGTTGAGAAGGAAGAAGAGGAAGATTCTGGACTTCCTACAAATAGGGCATCTAGTGCTCAAACAACTTATTGAAAACGATATGAATGTGATTATTAAGATGAATGTGTTTTTATATTCCTGTAGATCACATCTGTTAAAGAAAACTACGGGGTTTTGAATATTGTCTCAAGAGCTTCTCACAACCCATCTTCTCTCCCTGGTTTCCCCCCTACATCCCTGTTTAAACAGGCAGATACTTATCAAGAAGGTCTCCCAAAAGTGTTACCTTCTAGGACACTTTAGCTAAGGAGCCTCTCTCTCCTGTAGTCATTTTCAAACCCTTCAGCCTATTTTATTTTCTTCACTTCTCAGTGGGATTATACTATATTTGACTACTTCATTGTTTGCACCAGATTGGCAAACTTTTTCTCCAAAGGACCAAACAGTAAGTATTTTAGGCTTTGTGGACCACAAAGTATGTCACAATTACTTGACTCTACAATTGTGAAAGCTTTTATAGACAATACGTTAAGTAAATGGGTATGGCTGTGTTCAAATAAAACTTTATTTTTGGATACCGAAATTAGAATTTCATATAACTTTAACATGTCACAAAATCTTTTTTTCAACCTTTTAAAAAATGGAAAAACTGAGGTATCTGGGTGCCTCAGTCAGTTAAGCATCAGACTTATGATTTATGCTTAGGTCATGATCTCAAAATTGTGAGATCCAGCCCCTCATCAGGCTCTGCACTAGGCATGGAGTCTGCTTGGGATTCTCTGTCTCCCTCCCCCGCCTCCCACATTTGCACGCTTTCTTGCTCACTCACTCTCTCTCTCTAAAATAAATAAATAAATCTTTTAAAAATGGAAAAACCATTCTTATCTCACAGGCTATGCAAAATAAGTGGTGGGCAGAATTTGGCCTATGGGTCATAGTTTGATGACACCTGGTTACATGTTTATTTTCTGTTCCTATTTTGCCATCTCCTCCTCTAGCTTCAAAAGAGAAAAATCATTGTCTGTCATCCCAATGTGGGCAAAAAGAATCTCTCGATAAATATCTGCCAGCAGAAATTAAATTTAGAAATATTTCTTTTTTTTTAAAGATTTTATTTATTTATTTATTTATTTGACAGACAGAGATCACGAGTAGGCAGAGAGCAGGCAGAGAGAGAGGGGGAAGCAGGCTCCCTGCTGAGCAGAGAGCCCAATGTGGGGCTCGATCCCAGGACCCTGGGATCATGACCTGAGCCAAAGGCAGAGGCTTTAACCCACTGAGCCACCCCGGCGCCCCTAGAAATATTTCTTAAGAGTTTACCACATACAACCTGTCATCAGTGTCATACAAAAAAGGACATTTAACTATATAGTGTGCTCTAGTGGACACAGCCTGTTATTAGAAAGCATCTAATGTGAAAAGGGTTCCCTAGATTTGTATAGTGTTCAACCTGCACAACTTTGCATGGGAGCCCTGGACATCTCACACATTCTTTTGGCCCTTTATGACCTTTCCTGTTTCACTCACCCAGTGTGATGCCAATTCTATAATCTCTACTCTGCACCAATGAACATGATTTCTTAAATATCATTTTGGCTTCTTTTGAGGGTACTCATTTATTAATATAGTCCTGTTCAGTGGTCTCATAGCTACTACGCTTCCATTCTTAATTGTTATAATCCAACTATTTTACATGTGACCTTGTTTAAAGATTCCATTTAGAAAAAATAAATTGACACAGAAAATCCAAACACATAGATTTCTTTAGTACCTTACAATTCTCCAAGACCTTAAAAAGAAATACTTACAGAAAGTTTCTGAACCACTGCCATGAGTATATCTGATATTTTTATCAATATTCTCAATAGCACGGGCTGCTTCACTGGCCACTAGGGACTGAAATCAATAGAATATGGAATTTCAGTTAATGTGCAGCTTTGAAGCAGGACAGATAGGAGTTTCTTAATAAAACAATCATATATTAATTGAATCAAACTGTATATAGGAAGAAATAGAAAGTAGAATCGTGGTTGCCAGGGGCTTGGGGTGTGAATGAAATGTGGAGATGTTGATTATGGGATATAAATTTCCACTTATAAGATGAATGAGTTTTGAGGATCTAACACACGGCATAGTGACTACAGTTAACAACACTATTTTATATACGTGAAAGTTGCTAAGAGAGTAGATTTTAAATGTTCTCACCACAAAAGAAAAAGTTGTAATTATGTAAGGTGATGGCTGTGTTAACTAACTTTATTGTGGTAACCATTTCACAATGTGTAAGTGTATAAAGTCATCACATTGTACACCTTAAACTTATACAATGTTACACATCAATTATAGATCAATAGAACTAAAAGAAGACAGTACATATGAAAAATTTATACATAGAAGTAAATAAACTTTAAAAAAATATTTTTTGCTTTATGGAAATCACAATTGGGTGGCTTTAAACATAAACCCTTCCAACACATTGAAAATTTAATTTAACCTGAAGGAAAAATAGTTCTCACATACTTTTTGGTTTTCAGGAATCCACTTATCATATAAAATGAAGTACAACTGTATTTCAAAGACAATCAGCCTGGGGTTACCCTATTCCTACACAAAATTATCACCAAACTTTATTTATGTTTTTAGAGAATTAAATTAAATTAATTAATTTACTTGGTGGAGAGGAGGACCAGAGGGAGGAGGAGAATCCTGGAACAGACTCAATGCTAAGCGTAGAGCTTGACAGTAGGCTCAGTATGACAACCCTGAGATCATGACCTAAGCCAAAATCAAGAGTTGGACACTTAACCAACTGAGCCACCTAAAAACCCCAAAATTATCACCAGACTTTAAATGTAGCTTCTCAAAATACTACATATACCTAATGCGTAGATCATTTCCTTCTCACAGACTATTGTCTTCTTGTGTAAAATGTCTGATAAACTCCTAAAGACTCATCAGGTAAAAAGAATCATGTGCCCACTACGGGGTAGGTTAATAAGTAAATCCCTTATTCTACTGCATTTGGTTCTAGCTTTTCCAGATCTTTTATGAGGTTGATGCTAGCATTCACTGACCCTCTCTCAAATAACCCAGAGGAATATCAGCGCGTATTACATTGTAGCACTCCTTTGTTCAAAAAAATTTTAATGAAACCCCATTGTCTACAGAATAAAATACAAATTCATTCTGACATTCAAACAAGCTGACAAGATCTACTTTCTGATGGTGTCACCCTCCACTTTCACACCCCATACACTTGAACACCTCCCCACCACCACACACACACCTGAACATACTTCCTGTGGGGAAGACATTTCCTGAGCTTTCAATGTGCTCCCTTCCCTGTCTGCCTCTAGAATTCCTATTGTTCTATTTCTGGCTGAAAATTGATCTGCTCTTTGATGTCAATAGCCTTTTATTATTATTATCATTTTCTTTATAATATGTCACCCCTTAATATATGATAAATTCCTCCAGACAAGGACCTTATCCCCTGGCTTTTCTAGCATTTCCTTCTGAATCAGTTAATAAGGCCACCCCCTGCTATCCTAGTCAGAATTGAGGTCTACCATCTGTGCCGCTTATTTAGTAGTTACAGCATTTAGAATATAACTATTTGTGACATTTGCTAAGGGCTGAGCTCCCTAACCATTTCATGTTCTCTTGAGGGGCAGGATCGCACCTAGTGCTTCTTTTAATGTCCACCAAACACAATATTTTACACGAAATAACTCTCAACAACTGTTTGTGATAACAGTAATCCCAAAATAAGGAAAATCAGACTAATTCTATTTCCAAATCAGGACAAATAGCCTCTCTTTTCTTCAAGGATAACACCAATAAGGGAGCTTTCCTTAAAAGTTTCCCTTTGAGAAGAAGAAAGAATTGCAGGTACCAAGTATGTTTATGTTCTAAATGAGCTATTTTCAGAAAATGCAAATAACCTTATATTTGTCATCAGCAACTGTTATCCCATAATATGGCTATAGTTTATTCTTGTAAGAGAACCAGGACATACACATCAACACCAAACAATAAAAACAAAAACAAAACCCAAATCCACAAATAATCTAACTAAAAAATAGGCAGAGAACCTGAATAGACTTTTTTCCAAAGAAGGCATACAGGCAGCGAACAGATACATGAAAAGGTGATCAACATCACCAAACATCAGGGAAATGCAAATCAAAACCACAATGAGATATCGTCTTATACTTGTCAGAATGGCTATTACCAAAAATACAAGAAATAACAAGTGTTGGTATGGGTGTGCTTGAAATGAAACTCTTGTGCACTGTTTGGTAGGAATATAAATTTGTGTGACCACTACGGAAAACAGTACAGGGGTTCTTCAAAAAATTAAAATAAAAATATCATGTGATCCAGTAATTCCACCATTGGGTATTTACCCAGAGCAAATGCAAACACTCATTTGAAAATATATATGACCCTTCTGCTTATCGCGGTATTATTTACAATAGTCAAGTTATGGAAACAACTTAAGTATCTGTTGATAGACAAATGATAAAGAAGATGTGGAGTGTATATATATGCAATGAAATATTATTCAGCCATAAAATAGCATGAGATCTTGCAATTCTCAACAACATGGATGGACCTAGAGGGTATTATGCTAAGTGAAATAAGCTAGAGAAAGACAAATACCATATGATTTCACTTACATGTGGAATCTAAAAACAAAGCAAATGAATAACAAACAAAAATACAGAAAATAATAAATACAGAGAAGAAACTGGTGGTTGTGGGGGGTTGGGGAGGGGGACCCATTGGAAGGATGGATAAGAAATATGTGAAGGGAATTAAGAGGTGCAAACTTCCAGTTATAAAATTTATAATTCATGGAGTAAAAAGTACATAAACAAATAAATAAAAATTAAAAGGAGAAAGAAAGGGAAAAAAGAGAGCCAGAACGAAAGGAATCAGTAAGAAACAAACCACTACATAAAGATCAGACTGGGCAAGAGTCAGACTGTCACCTTAACCCTTCCATTCTCTGTAAAGTATCTGGGGTAAGAATTTGGCCAATCCTAGCTACAATTCATCAAGAAACCTTGCATTTTTTTTGTCATCAACCCAAACATACAACATGTGGGATCAAAAAGTAGTGAGGAGTTAGCAGATTATCTGTGTCCTCTTTGAACTTCCTGTATCTTCTACCACATCCAAAATGTTGACATTGGAAGTGCTTTTAATAGGACCAAAGCCCTAGAGGTTAGGGAGGTCAGTGTATACACAATTCCTGATATTGATATTAGATTGATGAGTGTTATACCAGGACATGATCTATGTCAGGCTGTTGTAGAAAGCTAGTTACCATAAAGTAGACCCACAATTTCACAGACTCTTATCCTTGACTTAATGGTTTTATACGTAGATCAGCTCCATGTGGAATGGTTCAGCCCGACCTTCAAGCAATGTGTCTCACATTTGCTTAGGGACCCATCTGCTGGACTAAAGTTCACATCCACAGGGTAGGACCTGCTCTTTACATTCCCTCAGTGAACCCTGACCCAGGTGACTCTCAGCAGAGTGAGACCAAAATGTAAAGCACCTTCCCAACTGTCCTCCAAAGGAGAAATTTTTTCCCACAGGTTTTGATTCTTGAGTTAGGTATTATCTTATTTCTGAAATGCCAATGAAAAAATAATTAAGTAGCACTTACCAGTTCCTCATGGTCTTTGCTTTTGCTTCGATTGTAAGAATATGGAAACACTATGTGCTGGGAGTATGAATGCATACTGATGTAAGCCTTAATGTGGTTGATGTTTTTTCTCAAGAAATTAGCCATTGCCTTCACTTCTGGTTCTGATTCAGGGTAAAGGCCACAGTAGGTTTCTGAGCATGAGAAACTTGATGCACCTTCCCCTGAAGTGAAATTGGTAAGAGTGCGATTAGAGGGGATGCTTATGCTATTGTAATTTGTGATTTCCCTGAGAGTGCCTTCTCCAAACATCTATGGTGCAACATTTTCAGAAAAACAGATTTTAGAGAAATGGATTAAACTCTGTAAAGAACATATTTATATTTCTTTTGAAGTAAATATTTATAGGCCCTCATAGCAAACATCCCAACAGTTGATGCCTGGGGCAGCCATCTTGCACTCCTTGTGAAAGTGGCTAAGGAAATCTTAGAGATGCCAGCCAGCCCTGTCTCCAGACATGTGGTTATGTGAAAGGAAAAAAAAAATACCATTTTTCAGAAACCTTATTTTCTTTAATCCTTTGTGAGTTTGGTTTTTCTGGTTCTTGTAGTTTAAAAGTTACTAATCAATATAGCCCATAAAAGAAAAGTCTCATTTGGGAATTCAGAATACGGAAGTCTGCCGTCAGTGTTACTTCTAACTTGCTAAATAAAGAAGTCTGGTAAATAAAATAAGATGGTGATATTGGGGGCCAGTGTCATATTTATTCATCCTTTTGAGACATTCTAATATACATCACTTCAGATAGTTGCCTGACTCCTAGCACCTCACCTTTCTTCCTTAATGCACAGGGTTGGGGCCCCAGGGAGCCATCTCTGGCCCCAAACATTATTCCCTCCTACACAAGTGATTAATCCTGAACTGGGTCCTCAACTTGTGTTTTGTCAATCTGAATCCCTCCACTGATAACTTGAAATTGAGATGAAGATTCTGGTGCCAAGCTAGCTGCTTTCTAGAACAAAGAAGACAACACCAATAACATCACCAGCTGACATGAACTCTAAGATTTCCATGCAATATCTCATTTAATCCTCATGCAACTCTATGAAGGAAATACTGCTATTCCAGGAGATGCAAAGTGAACATTTTGGGCAGTAATGGCCCTTTACTATAAGAAGCTAAGCAGCATAGGCATTTCGTTAGTCATCCAATAACTTGATTTAATTTTGGCACTGCTTTTAATAACTATATGGCCTTAAGTTAAACTGTTGTAAAGCTATCTATACCTTAATTTTTTTCATCTGCTAAATAGGAAAATTATATATTTAATGAGGATTTAATGAGGATTCAATGAGCTAATGCATATGAAATACCTTGCATGGCACCTTGTCTATACTAAGTGTTCAGTGACTACTGTTTGTTCTCTTTTTCACCACCATACACATCATCATCATCATCAACATCAACATCTGGACTGGAATAAAAAAACATCCAGTGTGCTTCACAGTGGATTCATGGAGCGCACTGCAGTGCTGAAGCCCACCTAGTTCCAGGTTGTTTCTGAGGACTGGCGGCATCCTTGTCCTTAGGTACCATGCACTGCTTTATTAACCTTCCAGGAGCTGCCCGCCTTACTTAAACTTGTTCTGCTTTCTTCATTTTGTTTGCTATAGAAACAGCCTTAACATTTCTGAAATATTCTTTTCCCTGCAAGAAAATGTTGTGCTAAACACCCAGGGCCTTAATATTTCCTTTGTATTAATTTTCAATCAATAATGTGATCAGATGAATCATTTTGATAGTTCTGTTCTCTTTGATTACTCTTGCCCTCCCCCTCCCGATATATAGTTCTAAAGAACAGAGATTATGTTAGGAGTAGGGATAGGGGAGGACATGAAAGAGATGGAGGAAGCAGTAGTTCCCTAACATGAATCCTCAGACCAGAGCTCTTCCATAGAAACTTGAAGCAAGTCACAAGTTTAAGTTTTCAATCAATCATTGTTTTTAAAGAAATAGGTGAACTTATTTTAATAATATGCTTTATTTAACAAATATGTACAAAGTACTATCATTTCAGATGTAATCAATATAAAAATTACTCATGATATACTTTTTAATAAGGATTTTGTTTATTTGACAGAGATCACAAGTAGGCAGAGAGGCAGACGGGGTCGGGGAGGAGGCTCCCCACTGAGCGGAGAGCCAGATGCAGGGCTCGATCCCAGGACCCTGAGATCATGACCTGAGCCGAAGGCAGAGGCTTAACCCACTGAGCCACCCAAGTGCCCCTCATGATCTTTTTTATGTTACTTTTCTCATGCCAAATCTTTGAAATCTGGTGTGTATTTTATACCCCCTGCACATCCCAATTCAGACAAGCCACATTTCAAGTGCTCAGTAGCCACTAGTGACGACCATAATAGACACAGATAGTGAGGGCAGCCTCAGATTCTGACATTCTAGAGATTTCAAGTACTTTGGTAGGAAGTACCAGAGATTCAGGAAACTTGAATCTGAGATCTTCTTTGCCATGAAATAGGCATATTCATCTGGGAAGCTACTTCAACTTTCTCAACTGAAGGTGCTTTTTTTGTACTAAGAGACACTTAGTCTACCAGGTTCCTTCAAGCTCAAGCATTCTCTGGTCTATAGGCCTCATATAGGGAAATTTATAAAGAAAGAAAGTAGTGTGGAAACTACCAGGGGCTGCACAGATAGGAGGAATAAGGAGACATTGCTTAATGGTCACAGAGTTTGGGATGATGGGAAGTTTTGGAAATTGATATTAGTGATGGTTTCCCAGACTGTGAATATACTTAATGCCTCAATGTACTGAATTGCACACTTAAAAATGGTTAAAATGACAAATTTTATGTTATATATATTTTAGCACCATAAAAAATGATGAAAAGACACTATGGTCTCATAAGAAAAGAAATAAAGGATTTTCCACTGTACACTGGTTATTAAAACTTTTCAGTTTAATTTAACAGTTTAGAAAATAAGTGAATCTCTCTCAGAAAGCTTGAGACCACAACATCACAAAATCCTCCCTGTTATAAACTGATTTCCTCCCCCCACAAAATTCATATGTTGAAGCCGTAACTCACAATGTACTATGTTTGGAGATCAGGCCTTTAACGAGGTCATTAAGGTTTAAAGAAGTCATAAGGGTGGGACCCTGATCTAATATGGCTTGTGTCCTTTTGAGAGAGAGACACCAGGGATGGGTACACAGAGAAAAGGCCATGTGAGGACACTGTGAGAAGGTGGCCATTGGCAAGCCAAGGAGAGAGGCCTTAGGACAAACCCATCCTGATGACACTTTTATCTTGAACTTCCCACCTTCAGATCTGCAAGAAATAAACTTCTGTTGTTGAAGCCACTCAGCCTACAGTATTTTGTTATGGCAGCCTGAGCAGTCTAAGACAACCTCAGACCCATTCCCATTTTCACCACACACACACAAGCATATGCACATACACAATTTTAATACAGAAGAAAGGGAAAATGAACATGAAACAAACAGGCTTGATATGTCAATTCCTGTTAATAAGTAAAGTGTCCTTTTAGATTCTTTAAAAAAAAGTATCATAAAGGCATGTTCTAGTTCCAGGGACAAGGAGGATAAAAGATTTAATTCTTTCACACTGGCTTGCTTACATAATACTAAGGAGATACTGGGGTATTGGACAAAAAAAAAAAAAAGAGTCTTTACAATTACTTTTTGTTTTATTTGTCACTCTCCTTTGTCTATATGCTTGCTGCTTCAGTTTCTGTTTTTAACTCTTGTGATAGATAGTAAGATAGTGCTGTGCTTCAGATGGCCTACCTTATGTCTTGATGGCAATAAAAGAATATATTTGACATCTTGGCTATTTAAGTTGGGTAATACAACTTCACTATAAAAAATATTAAATAAAACAGAGCACCAAAGAGCATGAAGATAAAATAAGTTCTAGATGAGAACTTATAATAAAAGGGATTCTCATAGAAGAATTGCAATAACTTTGGAGTCAGTCAGCCTGGTTTGACATCCCAGCTCTGTCACTTCCTAGGTCTGTGCTCTTAAACACAGATTAAGGGATTAACAATTAAGGGATTAACATTCCGTGTCTGGGATTCTCCATCCAGGAGAATAATGAAACCTAGGGGGAGATATGTAAATAACACAGCACTTAGTAAGCATCAGCTCTGTTTAGACCTATTTTATATTTGCTGCTGCTTCTCTGACTCCTTGCCCAGTTATCACTGCTGTGTTGTCTTGGGGTCTCAGTGGGCAATTTTATTGGACAATCTTAAGGATGGCTCTCACGGAGAAACCACTAAGTGAGTCCCTTAATCACAAAAGGAGTGAGCCCGAGGCAGGATTAACTGCTCTTTCCTCTGCTTGCTTATTACATCTGCAGGTCTCTTAGAACCTATTCATTCCTATATGCATTTAATTAATTTCTGGGAACCCTGCCTGTGTCAGGCATTGCACTAGGTTATGGATAATGGTCCCGTCCCTCACGGAGTTTCTAACCTAGAGGAGGAAGGAATTAAGGAAATAAGGTAAGTACGCTGTTATGTTTTCATGTGGACTCTGAGATAATAAGGAAATGTTCAAAATCACAAAGCTTCCCTTCTTTTTTTTTTTTTTTTTTAAAAAAAAGGGAATACGTACAATCACATACATAGCATTGTATAGGGCAAAGGAGTGGTTAGAAGCAAGTTTTTGAGGCTTCAGTCACTTTCAATATCTTAGAGTCCCCACAGAGTTACATGTACCCACTTATAAAAATAAAGATGATTCAAGATCATAATTAGGTTTAGTTTTGTTTTGTAGTTGTTTTTTAAATGTAGTAACTATGAAATAAAATGGGGGGACTGCAAACCTTCACCTACCACCCTGAGAGCAGACAATATTCTTGAATGCCTTAATCAGTGTTCACTGAGTACTTTAACTCATTCAAATCAATGAATGATAAACTCCCACTGTGCTAGACATACATTTATGACACTCATAAAAGAAAAAAATGTTAAGTAAATAGCAAAAACCAAAGAAAATATTTTTGAATACTGTTGAACATTTTCCTATACAATTAAAAAGGAAAGGTATCCACCCCCAATTCTACTTTGATACCCTAATGACAAGTGTTATTTGAAATGAAGCAAGTAACCTACCACACCAGTGTTTGGAAGCAAAGTTCCTATTCAGGTCTGTTCCAATGCAACGATTATTTTCATGAAAGGACCGGTTCTTTCTCCACATTCGATTCTAAATAAACAAAACACTGATAACCAGATGGCCATGTTCATAGTTCAAGCAGAGACATGACTTCTAAAACCTAAGTAGTCAGGGTTGTGCGTCTCTCCTGCAAACCCATCACCCCACCTGTCACGATCTTCACAGCATTCCTTTCTCACAGCCCTTGTTTCCACCCAGGTCTCAATTACATTCATTCAAAACCATTTCAGTCTGAACCAGATGAAATGGTAATATTTGATCAGTTTTGACCTATACCAACAGAAATTTCTTTTGGTTTTGCTAGGCTGTTTAGTCTTGTTCGCTCTAATTTTAATTCCTTCTGAGAAAAGTAAAATAACTTTGTGTCTCAACTAAAATTAAAACCATGAGTCATGAGTTTCAATGCTCTCTTTAGATTGAATTCAACTCACTCCTTTAAAAGTTTCAGGAGGTGGAGCTGTGAATATACTTGTAGCCTGATGGTTCCTTTGATCACAATGATTCAAACCTCATTTGTAAACATAAAGCAAATTCCCCCATTGGATTCTTGGGGCAAACTGGGAAAGTTGACTAAGTAAATAGCTCCACAGATTTCGTTTAAATCCTGGGGTTGGGATGATGTAGTACCTTTTCCTTGTTCTCACCAGCCCTTCTGGAAAGCTTCCCAGTCTGCTTACAACCTCTGGCCTGTGATTTGGTGGCAAGAATTGTCCTGGAAAAATTTGGTTCTTAAACCACAGGGACTAACTGGCAGTGTTAAGATACAAAGGACAATGGGGGAGTGGCAATACCTAAAGGGTGGCTGAATTCTACCATGATTTAGTGAAAGAATAAATCTATTGTAATATCAATCTGTGAATGTGACTATTTATTTATTTGAGAGGGAATGGAAAAGGGAGAGGCAGAGGGAAAGAGAGAGAATCTCAAGCAGATTCCCCACTGAGCAGGGAGCCAGGAGTGCGGCTTGACCTCATGACACTGAGATCATGACCTGAGCTGAAATCAAGAGTCAGATGCTTAACTGACTGAACCACACAGATGCCTCCATATGCTCATTTACAGGACACAAATTTGTGTTAGGTGCTATGAAAGGGATTTCTCATTTATTTAGTTCAGGATTTTCCCACTCCTCCCTACAAACTTATAGTCATAGTATTCCTTTCACTTAGGATAACTTTTTCAGCCAATCCCCTTCACCATTCCCATTTCTTCTGCAAAAATTACCTCTTCCATAAAACAATTTCTGTTCAATCCTGTTTTCAAATTCTGTTTCCAATCACTCTGTTATTCTTCCTGGTGCTTACATGTGCTGCTCAAGGAGGTTTTTCTGAGCTTATATAAGCTGAATTATGTTTTATGTGCTCCTCATTACATTAGAAAGAACTGTACTTACATTGCTTGAGTAATTTTCCTGAATCATGATGTTGATAGGCTAGAAATTCTATTGATAGTGGTTTCCAATATAGATGAGATTGACTGGGAAACTTACACTTAGATGCTCATCACTAAATTAGAGCATCCTAAGGCTTAAATTCACATATCAGTTAGTGAAATTCTACCAGAATGCAAGTGCAGTTAGGATGTTTTTCTAAAACTTGCAATTTATGATTTTATTAATCAAAATGCTATTCAAAGGATTCCTAATAAGAATGGATGGATCTAGGCATTGTGTATTGATGGCAGCTAACATCACAAAAGGAGATACAATCAGACATTATATAGAACACAGAATCACACTGAAGTAATCCTGCCAAAAAAGTTAAACCTGAATCTGGTTTATCCTCTACAATCCAAATTTCAAGTCTTAGAAAATGCAGAAGACAGAGGAATGTGAAATTTCAACATGGCAATGCAATTAGCAAATCCAGACAATGGGAAACCTTCTCTTCAATGAATAAATTGCGAAGAAAAAATTTGAGAGAGAGAAAGAGAGAGATAGAGAGAGAGAATCTATGGATTAAAATAGAATTAAAAGACATCTAAACAAATCACAATATATTGGCTTTAATTGAATTCTGAATCAAACAAAACAATTTTTTAAATTATGAAACAATTACAAATTTAAATATCAATTGGACATCATAATATTAAGTATTATTAATTTTTAGGTACAATTGTATGATTTTTTTTTAAAAGATCTCTTTCAGAGATGCATCCTCAAAATTTATTGATGAAATGATATGGTGTCTGAGGTTAGCTTCAAAGTAATATAATGAGATAGAATTGGTTTGGAGATGCATGAGGGAAAACTTTGGCCATGAGTTGATTATTTCATTTTTTAAAAGATTCATTCATTCATTCATTCATTCATTCATTTATATGAGAGAGAGAGAGCATACACAGGTAGAGGAGCAGAGGGAGAGTCTTAAGCAGACCCACACTGAACGCAGAGTCTGAAGCTTGGCTCGATCTCATGACCCTGAGATGAGAATCTGAAATCAAACCAAGAGTCAGCCCCTTAACCAACTATACCACCCAGGAGCCCCTGGCCAAAAATTGATTGATGAAGTTGTGTCATGGGTAAAAAGGAGATTACTGTGAAATAATTACCATTCATATGTTTGAACTTTTCCATAATAAGAATTTATATATATATATGTATATACATATATATATATATTTTTTTTTAAATAAAGCCATTGTGCCAAGATCCAAGATTCTGTGAAGAATTTAGCCTGCACGTCCTGTATCCCCAAATAGGGCATATTTTGTTTTCTTTGCCTTCACTTACCTTTTTCCATGTGAAGTCATAACCATCCACGTTAACTACTGGCATCACATAGAAATCCACGTGCCTCAGAAGATAAGTGTATGGCGTTTTTTTCCCTTTTGACTGAGTTACCTACAAATTACACCAAGTGTGTTTAATAATATCTCTTTTAAGTCCTTCTAAACTTAGTCTGTTTCTTTTATGTGTTTTACTTTTTTTTAAGAAGTCATTTGGAATGTTTAGGTTTGTGTATTTAACTTTCAGTAAGAGTATTAATTCCCTTCAAAAGTCTGAACTTAGGGCACTCTCTTGGCATATGTTGGCAAATGCCTTGGACATGGAACAAATGGTCTTCTTTTTTAACGAAGGCAGAAAACAGAACCATATGTTTTCTAAAATTTTCTTCAAGAAAAAAAAAGAATTCCTTACTAAAGCAATACAGCTCACTTCAGGGATTTAAAGAAATAAAACCTAGGTACAATCCCACTCCTTTTTCAATAATCCATATTGATCAGAGTTTAAACTAACCTTGTCTATGCCCAGATATGACTAGACAGTTTCTACATTGTCCTTATAACCGGGGGAGCTAAATTTTAAATTTTAATTCTTTCAACAAATCTGTTTTCTTGTCTTTTTGTTTTTAAAGATTTTATTTATTTGAGAGGGAGGGAGAGAGAATGAGAGAGAGAGTGCGCATGAGAGGAGAGAGGTCAGTGGGAGAAGCAGACTCCCTGCTGAGCAGGGATTCCCCATGTGGGACTCGATCCCAGGACGCCAGGATCCTGACCTGAGCTGAAGGCAGAGGCTTAACCAACTGAGCCAGGTGCCCTCAACAAATCTATGAAACATACATTCCAACCCTCACTCACCCCTTCTGTTTGGAATCCTGCTTTTTGGATAAGAAATTCCAGAGCTAATGTGGATCATCTGTCAGAGCCGAACAAGAATTTCTTGCGGAGCCCAATGCGGGGCTCGAACTTACAACCTTGAGATCAAGACCTGAGTTGATATCAAGAGTCAGACACTTAACCAACTGAGCCATCCAGGTGCCCCCTTTTTCTTTAACAGCTCTATTAAGATACAATGCACATAAAAGGAAATGCGCCATTCTAAAGTATAGAGTTCAGTGAATTTTTTTTTTAGTATTTTCACAGAGTTGGGCAACCATCACCACTATCTGACTTCAAAACATCTTCATCATCCCTCTGACCCAAATCCTTATCCATTAAGAGTTATTCCCCTTCCACCTATCCCCACATTCACCCCTGACAATTACTAATCAACTTTCAGTCTCTGTGGATTTACCCATTCTAGATATTTCATACAAATGGAATCATAAAATATGTGGCCTTTTATATCTGGCTTCTATCCCTTAGAATAATGTTTGCAAGATTCAACCATTTTGTAGCAAGGGTCAGCATTTCATTCCTTTTCCTTGCTGAATGATATTTAATTATAAGGATATACTAATTTATTCTCTCTACTGATAAATTGATGGGCATACTTTTTGATTATGAATAATGATGTCATGGACATTTGTAAAAAAATGTGTCTCCTTTCCTTGGGTGTAGACCTAGTAGTGGAATTGCTGAATCATATTGTAATTCTATGCTTAACCTTTCAAGGAATTGCCAAACTGTAAAATCATGGCTGAACTATTTTACAATCCCAACAGCAACAGATGAGCTTTCCAATTTTTCCATGTCCTTATCAAACACTTGTTACTATCCTTTTTAAATTTTAGTTATCCCAGTGGGTCTGAAGTGGTAACTCTTGTGGTTAGATTTGCAAATATTTCTCTAATGACTGATGATGTTGAACATCTTTTCATGTACTTATTGGTCATTTGTCTATCTTCTCTGGAGACTTGTTCGTTTCAGATATTTTGCTCAATCCAAAATTGGATTGTCATTCTATTGTTTATCTGTAAAAGTTCTTCATATGTTTTGGATAAAAGTCCCTTAACATATAAATTTTCCCCCACTCTGTGGGTTATCCTTTCACTATCTTGATCACATCCTTTGGAAAGCATTAATGTTTTTAATTCGGTAAAGCTCTTTTTATCTCTTTTGTTGTTGTTGCTTGTGGTTTTGGTGTCATATCTAACAAATAATTTCCTAAAGTCACAAAGATTTATTGCTTCTAAGTTTTCTTCTGAAAATTTTATAATTTTAGTTTTTAAATTTAGGCCTCTGACCCATTTTGAGTTAATATTTGTACATGGTATGAAGTAGGGGTCCAAGTTCATTCTTTTGCAGGTAGATATCTAGTTATTCCAGGAAAGGGTGTCTTTCTTGATCCCTCACAAAGACACCATCTGGACTAGTGGTGGGCTTGTTTGGGTGCATTTAAAGAAGGTGAGGGTCCAGAATAAGAGGAATTGGTGATCTGAAGAGAAATAGGATTAAGCCAGGACCTCAATAGAGAGGCTTAGAAAAAAAGAAAGACAGAGGGAAATTGTGCATTGAGGGGACTTCTCAATGCTCTTCTGTAAGAGGAGACATGGACTCAAATGGGACAGTGACCTGAATGGATCAGCTAGGTAAATATAGCATCCTCAGGACTTAGGGTACTTTCCTGATAGGCTAAGGGTAAGATTGGGTACTTGGTAATTGGGCAAATCTGTGTTCTTTTCCATGCATTGTGCAGATTAAGGGCAGAGTTACATAGATACAGAGAAATGCAAGAAATGTTCTCAATAACTTTGTGAATAATGTTATTACTCATTAAGACATTTTCAGACTTGATATTTATCCAGCCATTTATACTTCAAAAACATACAATCTAGATATATAATCATATCAGTGGAGTAGTACAACCTCTAAGATCTTATAAACCTTATAATTCTGACTTGGTATATCACCTGTTTTTTAAGGACATTTTTTTTTAAATAATAATTTCAACCAAACTTGAACATACTTATGAATCTAATAATTCTTTCCCCATTAATTTGTGATTTGTATATCTTGGTGCTCTCCAAACATGTGTTATCCAATGAGTTTTTGTGGTATTTTATAAATATGTTTACAGTCATGGTTTTATATCACCCTTAATGAAGTAAGTGGCTGAAGAAATTATGCCCGACATGCAAATGGTAACAATTATGCCAGCACACAAATAAATATTTGTTGAAGGAATGATTTACCAACAAGTAACATAGCTGAAATTGCTGTCCTAGTAATAAAAACAAGGGAAGAAAGATGAGACTGGAGGGAGGATTGCACAAGAGTGAGAAATTAGGGGATGGGAGATAAAGGCGTGTCTGATTCCTAGCAGCCCGACCTGCGGCAGATAATTACTATCCAATCTTTTCCTGGGGTGCACCAAAGCTTTTTCTTTATCATGGCCTGAAACAACAATAACAACAGCAACACCTACCAACAAATTAACCAATAGCCATTTGACAGAATAAAGTAGTAAAAAAAGGCATATAAGGTGCTACAAATGAAGGATTTTAAAATAAAGCATTACTCCCTCTACCACTAGAAATACTGCAAAGGGCTGTAAGTCCAAGTTTTCCTACGATGACAATAAAGCATTTAGCACAATGATAGATACTCTCTGGACTCCAGAGTTGTATTTGAGCTTAAAGTTGAAGCATTAATTTAAATTTTAAATATAACAAGACAATGTTGAATGTTGATTCTATGGACCAAACAATGTACTGAGTTATGGGTAACAACACCAAAAACTGACTTTAGAGATGATCTTTGTTCTTAACAAGCTGGTAAAAATGTTACATTTGAAATGAAAGAGCAAAAAGTCAATGTTATAAAATATGATAATAAAATAAGATGTACAAGATGGCCCAGAAGAAGGACAGTTAATTCTGCGGGGTGTTTGGGGTTAGAACTCCTGAAGAGCACATCAAAGGGACAAGACAGTCAGGATATGGGTGAATGGGTGATGAACAGGTGTGAGGAATGACAGAGTAGGAGGAGAGGAAATTAAGTGGTCAGACTCTTAAGTGGCTCCTCCTATCATTCCTGGTTACTGTCCTTGGCCATATTCTGGATCCAGATGTCAGGGAAAGAATTATTTTTGAGATACAGAGGATGGCCATGGGGGAAATTTACTAAAGCAGAGTTGAGGTTAGGTTTGTGGATGTGAAGTTCAAGTTGCTGAGATAGATGGACATTGATAGATTGACATACAGACTTCGAATTCACTCCAAATAAGGGCAAGAATTGGAGAGGAATAAAAAAACATGAGCCAAGTTCCAGGGAATTATCTGGAGACCATTAGAGGACAGTAAAAAGAAAAGACAAGGGTGGTTCAGCCAGATCAGATCAGGAATTTAGGTAAAAAGGCAACAGCAGAACAGGTTTCCCACACTCTCTGAAAGTAGACCGTGCCTATGAAACCTTTCCATATGCTAAAATGGTGTAAAATGAAAAGTGTCCACCACTTTCCAAACACTTTTACATTAGTACCTATTTTTGCTGACTGAAAGAAACCTGAAGGACATTTTTTTGTTTGTTTTTATGAAGAAAGTCATTCCCATATGAATGTAAGTCTTTTGTAAAAGTGAAGTGGCGTCATGTGAGCTTTTGGAAAGTAGGGGATACCTGTATTAGGACAGGAGAACATTGATCTACTCCTCTGGCCCCTTAGCATATGGAGATAGGAAAAAGCAGCCTCTTTCCCTGAAGGAGTTTCTGTGAAGCCGTGTCCTTCACAAGTCACATGTCAGCTAAGGTGAAGGGCAGCTGCAGGAATTCTGTGGAGGTTCTGAAGTTGCAGGGTGCCAACTTTGTGAGCAGCTACATGAGAGTTCTCCAGGTCAGAGGTCCAGAGGGAGGTTGGCACTGAGAAAAGCCAGTTGGCAGACAAAGTACTGAACAAGGTGTGATGCCCAACACGTGCTGCTTGGGCTCCAATGATGTGCCAGACCCCGTGCTGAGTTTGGTCCTAGTGATGCAATCATGCACAAGTCAGCCTCAGCTCCTGCCTTCACATTAGTATAAGGGATCTTCATTTGGCCTCCACAGGATGAATGAGAGGCATAGAAAGAAATGACTGACCTCAGGGTCCCCAAAGTGTAGAGTAACGGGTTTCCCCTAAGCTGAGACCGTACCATATAGAGTTGGAGAAGAGTGAGAGACTGTGAGATAGAAATATGTGTATATGTTGGTCTCTGCCCCACATGCCCTCTGTTCCTGGCACAGGTCTTGTAATTTCCTAAATGATAAGAGCAACAAAGGCATCTTTTGGTTTAGTATTTGGTCTTTGACCTGGGTTCCTGACATAGGACTTTTAAATCCCTTTGAATTTCCTGGGTGATAACAAAGTCCTTTGTTCTATGTGGTGACTCTTGGTGGGTTCCTGGAAGGAGGCTGGTCAACAGAAAAACCAAGCCAGGATCTTGGAACTTTCAGCCCCAAACCTATCTTCCAGGAAGGGGAAAGAGGTTAGAAATTGAGTTAATGATCCATCGTGCCTACATGATAAAGCCTCTTTAAAAATCCTAAAGGTATGGGGCTCGGGGCGGCTTCTGGGTTAGTGAACGTGTAGAGTGGCTAGGAGAGTGGCCCAGCTGGGGAGGGCAGGGAAGCTCCATGTCCCTTCCCACACACCTTTCCTTAGACATCTCTTCCCCCTAGATGTTCATCTGTATCTTTTAATTGTATCCTTTTCACAACAAACCAGTAAACAGTAAGTAAACTGTTTCTCTGAGTTCTTTGACCTGCTCTAGCAAATTAATCAAACCTAGGAGGAGGTCGTGGGAACCTCTGATTTGTAGCTGATTAGTCCGAAGCACAGAGAACAGCCTGGACTTTGAACTGGCAGCTGAAGTGTGAGAGGGGCAGTCTTGTGGGACTGAGCCCTTACCCACTGGGATCTGACTCAGTCTGCATGTAGGTAGTGTCAGAATTAAGTTAAATTGTAGGACATACAGCAGGTGTTATAGAATCGCGTGGTGTGGGGAAAGTACCCATGTACCTGGAGTTAGAAGTGTTGTGTGAATGGTTGTTGTACAAGAGGAAAGGAGAAACACAGGAATGGTGTAGGTTTTCTTTACAGAGTTTTAAAAGCTAAGGCTTCATCTTTGGGTTCTTTACTTTTTAAATATAAAATCCATCCACACAAAATTTATAAAGCTAAAATCTTTTATTTTTCCTTCTGTTTGAATCGCAATTTTAAAAAATCTTGGATTTCCTTTTCCTTTGTTTGAATCATTATGAAAAATGATTAAATTATTTGTAAGCAGGCAAGGACATTCTTAAATGTCCATTAAAAAGAGTTTATTGACTGTGTTGCTTTGGGCTACAAAAATCAGACTCCTATTGTTGGGGCAAAATACTTGATGGTAAGGTTTTGGGGCTGTATCTCCTTTCCCATGGTATCTCCAGAGTCTGGAAACTCATAGGCAATTTATAAATATTTGTGAGATAAATAATTTAATCTTACAAAAATTCAGCAAGCAGGCAGGGTAGAGGAGAGTATGTGTAATAGGAGAGAAGAGGTGTCAGTTTTAGAAGGATGGCAAGTAAGGACAACTCCACCAATAGGAATTAGAGTCAAAATGAATTAGAATCTCTTTTTGGCCCTTTCCAGGCTCAGTGATGGAATGAAAAAGAAGTGTTCTTTCTTGCTTGCTTTGCACCTTTCTTTCTCCGCTAACTGGTACTCCATTCATTACCCAAAATGAATAAAACTACCCAAATTGAGGAAGGATCCTCAAATGTCTGGGCTGTATTAAGGATCTAGTCATTTGAGAGCTAGCCTCATTTGGTCAAGGTAGTACTGATGATGGCTGGGAACTTTGCAGAAGGCTCAGGATTGCTGCAGCTCCCATCAGCGGGAAGAGCAGATGGTAAGGCAGGAGAAGGTAGACAAAGATGTTGTATTTGACCAGACCCAGCAAAGGCAGAAATGTTTTTACTTTTGATGTACCTCATTTGTTAAGACAGATCAATCTAAGTGACTATCTTTTAATTATTAAGAACAAATCTATTTTGTGTAGTTGTATACCTGTGAATACAGGGACCAGAACCATTATCAGAAGGACACATACTTTAAGTTATTCTTCCAGTAGTAGAGGCTCTTTGCATAAATCAATAGAGAGAACATTTTATAGGAAGTGAAGCAGAATTTTTATGTTTTCATTTATTATAGAGGTTTATAGTCATTATAATTTTTATTGTTATGCCATACTCTTGGTCTTATCTATGGATTTTTTTGCTGCCAAGGCCTTCTTCAGGGACAAAATCCCCCATTATAATATATTAGAATATATGATCTTCTCTGTAATGTTATACTTTTTGTTCAATTTCCAAGGGCAGACTATGGTCCTTAGTAAACACATTACTATTGCGAAATATTTCTTGATTATTTTCCAGCAGTTAGCCTTAGCCTGAAATGTAGGAAGGAAAAGGTGGGCAATCTCTAGGGTGATTTAAGTGCTTAAAATTATGTCTCAAACTTAGTGTATACCAAGTCATCTGGGTAGATTGTGAAAATTGTAGATTACCAAATCTCACCACAAGAGAGTTTAAGTTGAGAATTCTAGAACACAACCTGGGAAAATGCATTTAATAAACAGTCCAGTTGATTCTGCACATGTCGTCTTAGGCCGTGCATTGAGAAACTCTGGCGGAAGAGAATGGAAGTACTTACGTGGTCTATGAACCACAAGCAGAAAGCAGGAGAGATCCATTCTCTGGCATGGATTCCACAGTCGATCCATATGGCATTTTTGGCTGTTCGTTCTTTTCTAGAAACCTGCCCAAAGAAAACCAACAACAATAACAAGAAGCTTCAGGATAATACTCCCATTTATACAGTGCTTATATTTAATTCTTGCAACAAATCTGTGAAACACACATTATTCTCTGCATTCCTTTGAGGGTTTCCTGGGGACATTAAAGGGTGGTGAGATTAAAGGATACTAGTTAATGTCACATAGCTGGTGAGAGTCGGGACTGACGTTTGCACTCAGAACTTTTGATTTAGGGCCCTCTTGCTCTTCCACAATTACTTAGTCATCCCAGAGCTGCACGTGGAAGTGTAGAAATAAAGACCAGAGTACTAGAACTTCAGCTGTATTTTGACACTTCCATGAGGTAAATAGGTACATGTAGTATGGGCAGCTTTCTATAGGAGACGGAAATAAAGAAAGGTTTGGGAAGGGAAGCCAGTGATGCTGAAGAGAAACTTGGACTCCTTTACCATTTTCCCCAGGGTGCATACTTTTTATGTACAGACTATTACCCCCATCTCACACAAAATGAAGCACACATCTAAGTTCACAGAAACGTATTACCACCAGGCCCGGAGACAGAGGCCTTGTTCTGATTCATGGTATGGGGAGCTAGTGCAAGTTGCCATTCTGGAATAAGAATTCCCAATCTGTCCTCAGTGATAGACTTTGGTGTCTTCAGAAGTGTTCTCAAGAAAATCTCCACACAAAATGGTTCATATGCTTTTAAAAATTAGTTTCAACACAATGAGGGTATGGAAGGGTGGGAGCTGAGTGTTACAAAATTAAACAAATACGTGGAGTTGAAATTCCAAAATAAGAAAAGGAGAGAGTTAGGGGCACCTGGGTGGCTCGGTGGGTTGAGCCTCTGCCTTTGGCTCGGGTCATGATCTCAGGGTCCTGGGATCGAGCCCCGCATCAGGATCTTTGCTCGGCAGGGAGCCTGCTTCCCCCTTTCTCTCTGCCTTCCTATCTGCCTGCTTGTGATCTCTGTCTGTCAAATAAATAAATAAAATCTTAAAAAAAAAAAAAGAAAAGGAGAGAGTTAAATGTTTATTGCCATTCCGCAGCACTCAGGCAAGTTTTTTCTTAACTAACCTGGAGCTAGTGATAATCCAGTAAGAAAGCAACAGAGAAAGTCAAAGGGCATTGGCTTCCAAGAATGAAATAGTGCACAGAGAAGAACTATCTGGCTGATTGAATCTATGCAATTAAAAAAAAAAAAAAAGTCTTGAGTTGTCTGGACGAGTTGCCTGACTCAATTTTCTGTCTAACAGTGCCAAGCAAACTCTCTTGGCACTGATCCTGACACTGGAAAATGAAGGAACCCCAGAGACTCCCATCATATGCACGTCCTTGGTCAAGTAAGACTGGTACAAAGTCATGCAAGAAGCATGATCTTCTAATGTGTGAATCTGGGTTCCAGAAACACAAGTGCTGAAGAGTATACACAATAGTGCCGAATGCAAATTCCATAGATGGGTAGACCACAACTGCATGGAGTTACTTTGATGGACCAACTCAGCTGTCAAGAGGACCTGATGTTTCATATGTCTACCTTGAGTTTGCACTGCAGGTTCTTAACAAAACAGATGAGAACCCAGGAACCCTGACTCAAAATCTTATCTTTGGATGACTAAAGACTCCCACCTCTCACAATTTAGATAGGTGAAGTTGGGAAACTATATGTAAATTAAATGTTATTAAATCAAATGTATTTTTCTGATGCTTACGTTTTTCCTAGAACTGCTTTCTAATTATTTGGGGGGGGCGGGGAACTGCTAAAAAAAAGAAATGCAGAATTAGAAATTAACAGCAGGAATTAGCATGGTTTCATGGCTCCCAAAAATTCTTTCTTTGGCCATATTCACAGACTTTTACAAAGGCTAATTTATTCAACTAAAACAAAACAAAACAAAACAAAACAAAACAAAACAAAACAAAACAAATGGACAGGGATTGGAGCAGAAGCTTTCATATTAATCCTACTGCCACGGTTCCTTTTTTCCCCCTGGGTTTCGTTGCTCAGCTGTTTCTTTGGTTCCAAAAACTAGATCAGTATCAGTGTTTGTCTGACAACAGATTTCTCTCCATTCCCCCTGCCTCCCAGGTAAGCCAGTCAGAGGTGGTAGTGGTGGGTGTAAATAAATAAGGTACTTGAAAAATAATCCAAATGACTCCCCTCCTTTTATGAGGGGAGCCAACAAAGCTCAGGAAAGTTAAATGGCTTATCTATGTCCCATAGATAGAGACAGAGACAGCGTAGATCCCCAAAATAGGATTTCTATTCTCACACCAGCACTGCATCAGTGAAAGAAAGAATGTAAAGGTAATAACCAATCCCCAAATAGCTGGATATTAACATTGAGGAACACTTGTAATACAGATATTTCTAAAGCTCAAAGAAAAAAAATCCCAGTTATAACAAGCAGCAGTGGAAAATTAATATATTCTCCAAAGTTGAGAGATGAGTGACTCTCCCCACAACACACCTTTAAAATATACAGTGGGTACTTCTCGTATGAGGATCCAATGTGGATTTTTTCAACCATATCAGGATAGTTCTCAGTTATGATTTCCATCCAAAAATAGATCTATCAAAACAGAAACCAGCAGTTAGTCACAGAGCAAGTTCAAAGCATTTCCCTGGGCAAAGGAAGCAGACAACTTCTGCAAGGTAAGGCGATCCCTTTAAAACCTTTGTATAAAGAAAGAGGGAGGAATCAAAGGAAATACAGCCTGGTATTTCTTCTGCTGTTTAGGAAAATCAATAAAATTAAAATTTTCAAAGGTATCAAGGTTTAAAGGAAGAGTAGAAAAGCACTAAAAAACTTAGGACAAAGCAGGAAAAATTAATTTTTAGAATAGATCTCCTGAAAGTTATTTTTAAAGGCTTAGCACATCGAATCCCTGTCTCTGTGTGTACAATCTTCTTTACCATTCATTCATGAGTTCACATTTCTATAGGACTTTTTTTTAAAATATTTACTTTCAAGGGTAACCCAAGGAAGTCCTGGGCACTGTCTTTGTGCAGGATAAATAGCAGTGCTATTGTTCCCACTAGAGACTGGAATACTCACAACAAGTTGTGTAAAGTGAGAGGATGCAAAGATGAGGACAATCTGGAGGAAAAATTCTCTCTTTCTCTGAGAAGTTTGATTCAGAACTTTTCTCCTGGCTGGAAGTCTAGTGGTACTGGTGATTCTGTGAAGACTACAGTGGAAGGAAAAAACCCAAAACCTTCTGGCCCTGACTTTAGGCTAGTGTCCACTTCAAAGCACAATTTGAATGATGAAATTCAGTCATGTTTTAATGAAGACCAACTTCTCAGGGGCCACCTTTGTACTTTTATACCTTCTGAAATGGAAATGACCAGTCTTTGGCCTCATCTCTGGGACCTTAACAAGAGGTAATTTCAAACTGCAATCCTAGCTGATGGGAACTGGGGCACCATTTGCCCATGGATGCTCTTAGAGTAATATCACTAGGGTGAGTGGTTGTCCAGTGCTGGGAATTAAGATGTTCTTGAAAGGCCTACCTGTCACCAAATACTAATGCTGCCAGTGTCTGAGGTGTTGGGTGTCTAGCTATCAGATGTTTCCTCATTGGGGCTTTGTTTACTGTGCTACTCTTCTAAGACATGAGTGCTTCTGAAAGAACTACTACATGAAAATATTTTGTGTCACAGTATCACTGGTTCAGGGGGTTTCCTGAAACTATGGAGGCTGTGTTGGATGAAGGCAGCCTTACAGAAAGCTTGATTCATTTCACAATCTAATCTGGGTTAATGAAGGTAACATCCTTTGAATAATACTCTTCTTTTGCCATTTGTTTTAAGAAGTATTTTTTTTTTTTTGCCATTTGTTTTTCTCCCTACCATGGATTAAGATTTCCTAGCAAGACATACAAATGGCTATCAGACACATGAAAAAATGTTCATCATCACTAGCCATCAGGGAGATTCAAATTAAAACCACATTGAGATACCACCTTACACCAGTTAAAATGGCCAAAATTAGCAAGACAGGAAACATGTGTTGGAGAGGATGTGGAGAAAGGGGAACCCTCTTACACTGTTGGTGGGAATGCAAGTTGGTGCAGCCAATTTGGAAAACAGTGTGGAGATTCCTCAAGAAATTAAAAATAGAGCTTCCCTATGACCCTGCAATTGCACTACTGTGTATTTACCCCAAAGATACAGATGTAGTGAAAAGAAGGGCCATCTGTACCCCAATGTTTATAGCAGCAATGGCCACGGTCGCCAAACTGTGGAAATAACCAAGATGCCCTTCAACGGATGAATGGATAAGGAAGATGTGGTCCGTATACACTATGGAGTATTATGCCTCCATCAGAAAGGATGAATACCCAACTTTTGTAGCAACATGGACAGGACTGGAAGAGATTATGCTGAGTGAAATAAGTCAAGCAGAGAGAGTCAATTATCATATGGTTTCACTTATTTGTGGAGCATAACAAATAGCATGGAGGACAAGGGGAGATAGAGAGGAGAAGGGAGTTGGGGGAAATTGGAAGGGGAGGTGAACCATGACAGACTATGGACTCTGAAAAACAATCTGAGGGTTTTGAAGGGGCGGGGGGTGGGAGGTTGGGGGAACCAGGTGGTGGGTATTAGAGAGGGCACGGACTGCATGGAGCACTGGGTGTGGTGCAAAAACAATGAATACTGTTACGCTGAAAAGAAAAAAAAATGATTTCCTAGCAAGAATCAATGACAAAAGAACCCCTCCAACCTACCAGGTGACCTTGTGGTGAGGGCTGAAGGAACGATCAGTACTGAAGGGGAAAGAAGGACTTGGTGGAATTTCCTGAGCACAAGATGGCCAACATTCCTATGAACCCTAAGGACTGAGGGCGGGAGGGAGGAGAGGTGCAAAATGTGTTCTGCAATGTCATTGTTACAAATGGAACTGTGTTCCCCTCCAAATTCACATATTGGATCTCTAACTCCCTGTGGCTTAGAATGTGACTGTATTTGAAGATAGGGCCTTTAAAGAGGTAATTAAATTAAAATGAGGCTGTTAGTGTCGGCCTTAATCCAACCTGACTGGTGTCCTCATAAGACATGGAGATTAGGACATAAACATACACAGAAAAACCAGGGAGGTACATACGGAGAGAAGAGCACGTGAGGACACAGTGAGAAGACAGCCATCTCCAAGTCAAGGAAAAGACACTTCAGGAGAAACCAATCCTGCTGACAACTTGACCGTGCACTTCCAGCCTCCAGAACTGTGAGAGAGTACATTTCTGGGGTCTAAGTGACCCAGTCTGTGGCACTTTGTTATGGCTGACTAACACAGTTGTTTCTTCCCCCTCCCACCCCCCATGTCTTTCCTGGAGACAAGATAAGAAAAAGTAACCTTCTTCTAACGAATTAAAAAATATTTTAAAACTACTTAAAAATACTTCTTCTTAAGACATTCCTCCCTCCCCATCCAATTCAAGACAGCTATGACGTATTTATCTTCTCCATTTTGCAAATCACGCTGACCAAGCTTTGCAACCGCTGACATCAAGTTTGCTTCTGCAGAGCTGATGATGGACGCTGGAGGGAAGAGGTCTTGGCCAAATAGAGACAAGAGAGGGGAGATAAAGGAAGGGGATGCAATTTTAAGCTCCCCATCAATCAGCCAGGCACATTGATTCTAGAAGCAGGCTGAGTTCTGGTTTAACTAACTGGAAAGGAACAGATGCTTTTGAAGATTAAACAGAAAATTGTTTCTTATTTCTTAAGTCTTAGATGTCTTAAAAACATGGATATGGTACTTAACAGTTTCTGGGCACCTAGCCAAAGATGATAAAAATACTTATATTAAGCAATAGAGCAGCATGCTCCTATGAAAGAAAAAAGGTATCAAGGGATTTTTATTACTTGGAGCAAACTATATAAAAAAGGAAGTCCTCCAAAGAGTTGACCCTTTCAACTAACAAATATGGGGATATGATTCTTAGAGGATTACATGAAAGCTTACTTCAGTCAACTGAGCCCCAGCATCTTTCTCAGGTTCCCTCTAGAAAAATTGGAACCTGTAAGTACTGATAGAAAAAAAAAAAAAAAAGAGTCAACTTTTTGATTAAAATACAGGTGGTGAATGATTGAAATACAGGTGTTGTTGTTGTTGTTGTTGTTATTATTAGTTTAAATAGATTCCTCCTAAGGGGAATAAAATGCACTTGTTTACAGTATACTAAATGTAAGTGAATAAATTCCTTTAATTCGGTGAGATAATGTTGCCATTATTCCCTAAGAGTTACAATCAGGGTAATGGTCCAAAGAGACATGATTAATTGGATTGTTAATTTTTTTGTAGCAGTTTCAATAAGAAGGTCTTAATTTTATTTCCTGTTATTACTTAGCATGCAGTATTACTCAGAACAGAAATACTCCCAGCTGTGGGCAAACAGCCTGCTTAGAGGCAGTTTACAAAATATGATACAATCTTCTCAGGGAAGACATCTACGAGAGGATAAGTTACCACCATATAATCAACCTAATCACGATTTTTTTTTTAACCCTCTTCCACTAATTATGTTTCTTTAATAATATCCCATGGTTGAAATGGCAATGCTAATTAAATGAAAGTAGTAATTTTGGAGAGAAATGTAATGACTTACCTCATTTAATGGGTGATAATGTTCATAATATGAGGAAAAGGTCCGGGGGGTGATTGTGTCATTGAGAGTTTGCTGTTGGATAAGATCTTTCACTTCTTCCACCAAGATGCTGGGGACAAAACAGGAGAGCTGATTTCCAAACAGGACTCTTATTTTCCCTGCCCACTGCAGGCACAACAGGTGAGCACAGGGGAAAATCATGGAGATATCTAACAAGCAAAAGTCACCAAGGTGCAAACAATAACCCAGAATATTGTACTAAGCTGAAATCCACAAAACTTCTTGATTATGCCCACATGGGTGTTGGAGAGAAAGCAGATCCTATGTGGTATGTTTTTATGGCTTCCAGAAGCTCACCCTTTCCATACCATTACCAACATTCCTCGATTGTGATTTATCAGTGTCTTTAACATACAGGTTAATGGACAACTTTCTTAAATCCAGAGTAACATTGGTTACTATTCTGTTTTCAGTTAAGGACCAAGGAGAAGCAGAAAGCCTTTTATTTTTGTTTTTCATTGTGACAACCATTAGCCTAAACCAGATGTTCTGCATAGCCAAAGATGGTCAAATCTCTAGAAAAATCAAAGCACAGGGAAAGGAATAATACCGGAAAGTCACCTTGTTTAAGTTTCTTGAGAAGTACCACCTTGTTAACTAGGCAAACATTTTAACTGAATTAAGCTTTTCCTTCACTTGGGATGAACAGTTTGAAAGTTAGCTATCATTTTAATATCATTTTCCTTTTTTTTTTTTTAAGCCAAGAGATAAAAGCCAAGGCTTTGACATCAGAAGAGTCTGAGTTCAACCCTTAGCTCTGCTATGTTCTATGTGGTATGATCTTGCAAAATTCCTTTGTGAATACGAAATATTTTTCCATTTGCATAATGAGGATAGTATCTCTCTCACAGAGTTAAATAAGAGTTAAATGAAGCAATGTATAGGGAGGTTCAGCACAGTCCCTGGAAGGCAGTAAACACACAAAACATATTATTAGTAATTATCATAGTGGATTATCCAAAGACTGCCTGTCGATACACAGAAAAGAGCATGGCCTCCAGGAAGTACTAGCGTAGCAGAAGGAAGACTGGCTCTTGGGCTGTGGATGCAGGAAGGAGACCCTGGACAGGAGAATCCAAGAGGAAGGGGACACGGAGTCTGAAAAGAAATTGCCTCTGATACAATGTTTCGTTTAGGGCCAGACATTCAGAAATGTCACCTGATCTTGTGAAGCAAGGGAGGAAGCCAAATCCCCTTTAGCACCTAGTTTTTCAAGAGATACGAGAACACCTGCTAAGGTGAATGACCATTTTGCTTCCCAGGTCTAGGCACAGAGTAGAGGGACCACAGGAAGGAAGGAACAAGGAGGAACTCGAAGGGGCTCCCCAGATCCCTGCGTCTGAGGCATTTTCCTGTGAGATTAAGCCACTTGTCCAAGGTCACAGAGCTAGCCACGGGGGCCTACTCACCAGTCCACTTCAGAGATTTCCATGTTGCCGTGTTCAATATAAGTGTTTATTTTTCTTGGAAGATATCATACCGTCTGCTAATAAAATGCATCATAGGTGCTTATAAAGGCTACTCAGTAAATATTGAATGCCGCCTACCTGAACTGGATTGTGCTGTCATGTAAATGGGCTTTCACATGGTTTACGTCAGACGCATTCACAAAAAAATGGACTTCTTTCTGCTTCTTAATTAAATCAGCTGTTACTGGCTGCCAGAGAACAATCTGAATTTTCAAAGGGGGAAAAGGGAAAACAAAAAGGTCATTCACAGTTCTGATCCATAGCTAAAGCCATAAGAGTGTGTTGATAGGAGAAATGAAAAAGACATTTCTTGGCCACTGGTCACCCGTCACCATTCGCACATGAGGCAGTGGAAACATTTATCTTGTTGGGGGCTTGTTTGACTTCTTCTCTGCAACCCCAGTTGCTAAAGAGAGCCTGGGACATATAGGGCTCTCAATAGATACTTGAATATTGAATAAATGAGTGAATGAACATATTTATGACCCAACTATATAGCTGGCTGTGTATGTCAGACGTGTAAAGGAGAAATGAAATTCTGTCTAGAGAGAAGGTTAATCATAGTAATCATGTGTTGATCTTCTTTAATAAAAAGTCCATGTCCCTGATATTATTAACCTGTCAGTATTCCTTATCTTTCATCTGATTATGGACTTTGGGCAATGCCTTCCAATAATATTTACATTGTTTTTCTATTTTACTGTGCTTTTCCTGAGCCCTTTTATACTCATTTCCTTTGACTGTTATAATTACACTTTGCTATGGGCTCAGCAATTGTTAGTATTTTCATTGTTATCATTTCATTGGAAAGAGTGAAGAAATTAATGCTCATATAGCTTACTTGTCTAAAATCATACATGTAGGGTGCTCAGTTGGTTGAGCAACTGCCTTTGGCTCAGGTCATGATCCCAGAGTCCTGGGATGAGTCCCGCATCGAGTTCCCAGCTCCATGGGGAGTCTGCTTCTCCCTCTGACCTCCCCTCTCATGCTCTCTCTCACTCTGTCTCTCTCTCTTTCTCAAATAAATAAATAAAATCTTTAAAAAAATCATACATGTAGGAAAGGGCAGAACAAGAACTAAAATTCTAAATCTCTGCGGCTTTCCTCTGGCCATCATGTGGTGACCTTGAACACGCCCCTCAGTTCTGTGGAGAGGAGGATAGCTGAATTCCTTTCACAGCCCCTGCCCATCTTGATCCACTGGAGACAGGGGCTGGGCTGCTCCCAGGCTGCAGCCAGCCACTGATGTTGCACCAAGGGTGGATTCTTGCAGACCATTTCTGCAAGATCTGGTTTTCCTCCTCCAGGTGACCTTAGCTTGAGGACGCCCCGCTGGTCTAGCCAAAGCTTCATCAGAACTGCCCTCAGTCTAAAGAGTCTCCATTTCTGCACAAGAGTCAGAGCTGTGTCATGGTCTGAAATTGCCCATTGCTATCTCCGGCTTCCTCCTCTTCTTCCATCACGAGCATCCCCCCTAGTCCTTCCCTGGCATCTTTAATCTGGTCTTGGTGTCTGCTTCTTGGAGAAACTTCGCTGGCAAATAGGGAGCCATCAGTTTTCTACCATGGTCTTAGCTTTCTCCACCTTAAGCATTCTGGGGTTTGGGACCCAGGGATGAAGATTTTAATAAGGGTTCCCTTGTGGTTTTGATACTTATTCCTTTTACAAACCATTGTTTTATAAGCAAAGTTCTAGTGGACTTCTGTAATCACAACATCTTTGTAAGTACAGACTTTTATTCCCAAAATACTGTTATGAAATTGGTTGAAAAGCCAATAGCAAAGATGAAGTTCTGATTTTAGTGACCAACAAAATCATGGATGATATAAAGGGGAAGAAGGCTTTCAGAAGAGGGGTTGAAAGGTGGCTGGGTGGCTCAGTTGGTTGAAGGTCCAACTCTTGACTTCAGGTCAGGTCACAATCTCAGGGTCGTGAGATTGAGCCTTGTGTCACTCTCCATGCTGGGTGTGGATCCTGCTTAAAATTCTGTCTCTCTCCGTCTTTTCCTCTGCCCCTCTGCCCTGCTTGCTCTGTCTCTATCCCAAAAAAGAAAAAAAGAAAGAGGGGTTTATACCAACTATGTGAATCAGACAACATAGAAGAGAACACGGTACACGAAATTTACATCTAGTGAAGCTAATATACAGTTAATCTTTGAAGACTGTGGGGGTTAGGGTGTCGACTCCCATGCAGTTGAAAATCTGCATATAACCTTTGACTTCCCCAAAACTTAACTACAAATAGCCCACTGTTAATTGGAGCCTTACTGATAACATAAATAGCTGATGAACATGTATTTCATGTGTTGTATGTATTATATACTGTATTCTTATAATAAACTAAACTAGGGAAAAGAAAATGTTATTAAGAAAATCATATGGGAAACACATTTACAGTACTATACTGTATTTCTAAAAAAAAAAAATCTGTGTGTAAGTGGATCCCTGCAGTTCAAACCAGTGTTATTCAAGGGTCACCTGTAAAGATAAATGAGGGAGAAATTACCTCATATGTTGTAGTAAGATTCTGTAGAATCTGAACTTGCCTGGAAGTTTTAGGAAGAGCAGATAAAACCTGGCCACTGGGAAAAAATAAGACAGAATTTTGATGTTAAATAAAAAAAGTGAAAATGAGATAAATTATACTGGGAGGGGCTTTGAGGTAATTGCGAAGGAAACAAATTTTAAATGGTAAAAGAGGATCTTGCTACAGACAAAGTGTTAAAAGGAGAACAAATACTTGCCCATCCTTTCTGTTCCTGAGCAGCTGCCAAATCAATAACTCTCTTGAATGGGAATACTTACTTCTTTCTTGTGTGTGTGTACAAGCCTGGGTGTGTTTTAATTTTAAAAATTAAATATTTAAGGGCACCCGGGTGGCTCAGTCATTAAGTGTCTGCCTTCGGCCTGGGTCATGATCTCCTTGGATCGAGCCCCACATTGGGCTCCCTGTGGCTTCCTGATCTCCTGGGATCAAGCCTCACATTGGGCTCCCTGTGGCAGGAAGCCTGGTTCTCCCTCTCCTACTTCTCCTGCTTGTGTTCCCTCTCTCACTGTCTTTCTCTCTCTGTCTCTCTCTCTCTGTCAAATAAATAAATAAAATCTTTTTTAAAAATATTAAAAAATCAAATATTTAACGCATAAGGGAATATTTACATGAACATTCACTGATTACATAATAAAATGAGTGCCTGGGAACTCATTATGCCACTTAAGAAATCCAATGTTTTTGGGTGTCCTTGAAGCTCTATGTGGCCTTGTTCCTACTCTATTTCCCTGCCACATCCATAAGGGTAACTACCTTAAATTTTCACTTTGCTGATTCCCTTACTTCTCCTCAATAGTATGGATTCTTAAATACGTGCAGGGATTCTTGAATAGGTAGAGTCTTAAGATACCCTTAGATTTGCTTGATTTAACTCTGTAAAAATGGTGTACTATATGTATCCTTCTGTATCTTATTTTTCTCATGTAACATTGTATTTTCAAGTTTATCTGTATTGAAGAATGTAGCCATGGTCCACATGTGCTGGAATTTGTCTATAAGTTGAATTGCTATTTCTTGGGGGCTAGATACATTGTAATTTCATAAAACAGTACCAAATTACTTCTCAAACTTTTTGTACCGGTTTGTATTTTCACCAATAGGGGAAATGATTTCCTATAACTTTTCCTCCTTGCTAACACTTGATGACTTTAATTTTTCTAGTTGAATGGTTGAATTGAAATGGAATCTTCTTGCACTTTTTGTTTTAATTTTCTGACTTACTAATATAGTATAGTTATTTCATTCAATTATTTTTGTGACAATTGACTAGTAGAATTTCTTTTTGTAATTGAAATACTGACTGGTTGTCAGTTAAATGTACTGAAAATATCTTGTACCAGTTTGTTTTTCTTTTTTCTTTCTTTATGATGTATTTTTATCCATCATTTCCTTCCAGGTTTGTTTTTTTACAGTGTGTTATGAACTTTTTCCCAATCCCTAGGTCTTAAAGATAATTTCTTACATTTCTTTTGCCTTTCTTCTTTTTTTAATTTGAATTCTAATATAGTTAACATATAGTGTATTAGTTTCAGTGTATAATATAGTGATTCAAAAATTCTATACATTACTCAGTGCTCACCATGATAAATTTACTCTCAATTCACTTCATCTCTTTCACCCATTCCCTATCCCAACTCTCCTCTGATAACCATCGGTTTATTCTCTATAGTTAAGAGTCTGTTTCTTGTTTTTTCTTGTTCTCTCTCTTGTCTTCCTTTGTTCATTTGTTTTTGTAAGTTCTACATGTGAGTGAAATCTATGGTATTTGTCTTTCTGATTGACTTGTTTCACTTAGCATTATACTCTATAGATCCACCCATGTTGTTGCAAATGGCAAGATTATATTCTTATTTTATAATATTCTAAATAATATTCCATTGTAGACACATCCTGGAAGGGAGAAAAGATGGAGGAGGAGTAGGGGACCTTATTTCAACTGGTCCCCTGAATTGAGCTGGATATCTTCCAGACCATTCTGAACACCCATGAAATCAGCCTGAGATGTAAGAAGATATATCTGGATCTCTTCAAACAATATCTTCTGCAGTTGATCTCAAGGTATGAAGCAGCGAGCTGTGATTCTGTGGGCAGATATCAGAAGATAAATGGACAGGGGAGGGAGTCTCTGGAATCTTGCCCTGGAGTGCAAAAACCTCCTGCACTGGGGAATGGGCACAGACTCGGAGGTGAGTCATGGTGGGGAAAGGACTTAAGGGCAGCCCCCTGACTGAAATGTGGAGCTGCAGGGGCATGCATGCAAACCAGGGCAGCTTGCAGTTTTAAAAGTACAAAAGGCAGAGATGAGCAAGGGCTGGGAGTGCTGCTGTGGGGCACACAACCCAGGATTCTGCAGTTTTTAGCAGCACAGACAGAAACAGAGACAGTGTGGCCTGGAGACTCAGTGAAGAACAGACTGCAATCTCTCTGTTCTGAGACAGAGGTTTGGATATAGTCACTTCTGCTCTGGGTCTCAGAAGAGATGTCCAAAGCTGCCAGGGAAAGCTGCCAGAAAACAAAAGCCCCAGAAAACCAGATTTCACTGAACCCTCCCCCCCACTCTCACACAGGGGCCAGGGCAACTCTGCCCAAACAGTGTAGCAGGCCCCTCCCCCACAGGATAGGCTGGAATAACAAGAGGCCAACAGTCCTAAGGTCCCTGTAAAAGAGGTGCATCTTGCTTGGGTTGTGGTCAATAATTTGGACTCTGTACATTCCCTCAACCACCCCTCAACAGAATGACTAAGAGTGGAACCCCCAAAAGGGGAAAGAACCAGAGAAGAAAACATTATTGAGAAAAACATTAATGACAGTATAGAATCTCTAAGGGCAGAAATGAGATCCAATCAGGCCAAACTTAAAAATGTTATGAATGAAATGCAGTCTAAGCTGCATACTCTCAGAGTAAATGAGGCAGAAGAATTAATTAGTGAGATAGAGGATAAGATGATAGAAAAGAAGGAAATTGAGGCAGCATGGGAAAAAATAAATTAAAACCCAAGGAATCTTAATGACTTACTGAAATGTTCCAATATCAGAATTTTGGGGATCCCTGAGGGGGTGAAGAGAGAGAGAGGTCTAGAAATATATTTGAGCAAATCATAGCTAAGAACTTCCTTAATCTGGGGAAGGAAACAAGCCTTCATGTCTAAGAGGCAGAGAGGACCCCTCCTAAGATCAATGAGAACAGACTGATGCCATGACATATAACAGTAAAATTTGTTAATCTTAGATCTAAGGAAACAATCTTGAAAGTGGCAAGGGGGAAGAGATTTCTTATGTACAGAGGGAGGAACGTCAGATTAATGTCAGACCTGCCCACTGAGACCTGGCAAGCCAGAAAGGGCAGGCAAGACATATTCAGGGCACTAAATGAAGAGACTATGTTGCCAAGGATACTTTATTCAGCAAGGCTGTCATTCAAAACAGATGGAGAGATAAGGAGCTTCCAAGACCAGCAGGAGCTGAAAGAATATGTGACCATCAAGCCGGCCCTGCAAGAAATATTAAGGGGGTTCTATAAAAGGAGAAAGACCCCAAGAGTGATATAGAGCAGAAACTTACAGAGACAATCTATAGAAACAAAGACTTCACAGGCAACATGATGACAATAAAATCGTATCTTTCAATAATCACTCTCAACGTGAAAGGCCTAAAGGCTCCCATGAAAAGGCACAAGGTTGCAGATTGGATAAAAAGACATGACCCATCCATATGCTGTCTATAACAGACACATTTTGAACCTAAATATACATCCAGACTGAAATTGAAGGGATGGAGAACCATTTTTCATGCCAATGGACCTCAAAAGAAAGCTGGGGTAATAATTCTTATATCAAACAAATTAGATTTTAAGCTAAAGACTATAGTTAGAGATGCAGAAGGACACTATATCATGCTTAAAGAGTCTATCCAACAAGAGGATCTCACAATTGTAAATATCTATGCCCCCAACATGGGAGCAGCCAACTACATAAGCCAACTGTTAACCAAAATAAAGAGACATATTGATAATAATATGTTAATAGTACAAGACCTCAACACTCCACTCTCAGCAATTGACAGATCATCTACGCAGAAAATCAACAAAGAAAAAGAGCTTTGAATGACACACTGGATCCGATGGACCTCACAGATATAAAACAACAGAATTCATTCTTCTTGAGTGCACATGGAACATTCTCCAGAATAGACCACATGCTGGGTCACAAATCTGGTCACTATTGATACCAACAGATTGAGATTTTTCCTTGTATATTCTCAGACCATAATGCTTTGAAACTAGAACTCAATCACAAGAAAAAATTGGAAGGAATTCAAACACTGGGAAGCTAAAGACCATCCTGCTTAAGAATGTTTGGGTCAACCAGGAAATCAAAGAAGAACTTAAGGGCACCCGGGTGGCTCAGTTGGCTAAGCAACTGCCTTTGGCTCTGGTCATGATCCCAGAGTCCTGGGATCGAGTTCCGCACTGGGCTCCCAGCTCCAGGGGAGTCTGCTTCTCCTTCTGACATTCTCCCCTCTCATGTTCTCTCTCACTCTCTCAAATAAGTAAATAAAATCTTTAAAAGAAAAAAACAAACAAAGAAGAACTTAATTCATGGAAACCAATGAGAACAAAAACACATTGGTCCAAAACCTATGGGAAACTGCAAAGGCAGTCCTAAGGGGGAAATACTCAGCCATCCAAGCCTCACTCAAAAAAATAGAAAAATCCAAAATACACAAATTAGCTTTATACCTTAAAGAACTGGAGAAAGAACAACAAATAAAGCATCAGCCACATATAAGAAGAGAAATAATTATGATTAGAGTAGAGATCAATGAACTAGAAATCAGATATACAGTAGAGCAGATCAAAGAAACTAGAAGCTGATTTTTGATAGAATAAATAAGATTGATAAACCACTGGCCAGACTTACCCAAAAGAAAAGAAAAAGGACCCAAATTAATAAAATCTTGAATAAAAGAGGAGAGATCATGACTAACACCAAGGAAATAGAAACAATTATTAGAAATTATTATCAACAACTGTAT